CCAGGATGAGGTGGTAGAGGAAGGCCTTCAGCATCAGGCAAGGCAGTGTCATTAAGGGGTGGCAATACTCCAATCTTGGACTACCACAAAGATGAATGGGCCCTCTGGCAGGGAATGTAAGCAGAGACCAGGAGAGGGTCATAGGTCATGATGTCATGACCCAGTGGAGACTAAACTCCAACTCTGGTCCTTTCTGACTTACCCTGGAATGTCAAGGACCTGGAAGTTGACATAGGAAGGGCTAGGTCTCTCCCGCCAGCTGCTACCTATCTCTTCCTCATGAAATCTCCCCCAGCTCCCCCACCCCGACCCTGCCCACACTCTAGTCCCCTTCTAACCTTAAGCGTTTCACTGACCACATTTCTTCCAGTCTCCAGGCCCTGGACAAAGGCCCGGGCAGCCACAAGGGCCCGAGTTATCTGGGGAAAACAAGAGAAGGTGAGAAACCTCCCACAAAGTTACATATCAGCCCAGATGAGCAATGATATAAGGGGATGAGCAGTGGGGAGGGGGAGGCTTATGGGGTTATCATCTTGGGGTGGGTGGAATGTTACTAAGTGGTGTACAGAGGCAGTGGGCTCTAAGGGAACTGGGCTTGGAAAGAGCTAGAGGGTTTGTATTGCATGGGGCTTGGAGGCAGAGAGACTGCGTACTAGCACACTGAACTTGAATGCAGAAGACTGGGGTGGGGAGACACACTCCATGTTACCACTTACAGGCTGTGATAGCTATACTCTGGGAGCTCCATTTTTTCTCCTCTGTAAAATACCTCAAAAATTATGACTATTAAATGAGATACTATCAATAAAATGCTCTTTAACTATTGACTGTTATTTAATTCATAGATAGTTGAACTTAGGAGAAGATATTAGGATCAGGGAAGAGTTAGACAAGGAACCTAAGGGCTGAGGGCAGGTGAGTGAGAATACAAACAGGGCAAAGAACAGGGGAGAAAGATATCCCAATTAAAAGAGATCCAGGGGCATTGTGTCAGGCACAGGTGACAGAGGCACTGAGACAGATCAGAGATGGCCTAAATGTAGGGTAGGGGAATCAGGAAGTCAGGGGGTGACAGAGGCACAAAAAGGAGACTACTAATTTGGAGGTGAGTGGTATACAGTTTGAAGGTCACTAGGTCAGAAGTAGCTGAAACTCAGGCCTCAGGACCCCTCACCTGTAGGCGGAGGCGGCGGGGTGAGTCCCCGAAGGGCTGCAGAGAGCCATCAGTAGTTGAAGTGAGCCGGGTGAGGCAGAGCAGGAAGTCAGGGGGGAAGCTGTACTGTGGGTGCAGCAGGGGGAAGGCTCTCTCCAGGAGCTGGGCCCAGAAATCTGCCAAGGTGTCATCTAACCCCTCACCGGATTTCTCATAGTAGTCCCGCAGGCGAGAGAACAAGCCATTGAAGATGAGGGCGTGCTGAGAGTACAGGCGGCCATAGGAGTGTGAGAAGAGCTGGACCAAGGAATGCTGGGATATGGAGAGCATCTCCCGAAAAAACTCTAGCAAAGGCAAGGATTGAGGCCGGAGGAAAGGAGAAAGAACAGTGAAAAAGCAGGAAGGGATGGGGATGGAAAGAGAAAAGTGAATTAGTGCAACTCTCAGGGACCTAGGAAGACTGAGAATGACGGAGGGTAGGGTCGTGGGAAAAGTCTGGGATGAGAACTAGTGATGAACAGGGCTGGGTGGAGGTGGACTGCCTTAGGACTGGAGTAGGGAGAGGGAACAGGAAGCCTGTTGGGGTCACAGGTACAGATGGGAGGTGTGAAATAAACTTGGGGACCTCAGATCCTCACCATTAAACTTTCTGTGCCGGGCTGCCAGTGTGTGAACCAGAAAGGAGCCACTGTCTTCCAGCAGACCTCGGAAGGTGGCCTCAGTATCCCTGATCAGCTTCTGTTCTGTCTCACTGGAACAGCAGGTGTATTCCTGGGGACAGATCTGGAGGTGCTCACCTGGACAGGAGGAGACAGGAAAGGAAGGGTGGCAAAGGTTATTATGAATTTCTCCCCATCTCCTCCATATCTGAGGACTGTATATATATTTTCCTCTCCCACCTGTCTGGGTTCTTTTTCTATTGTCTGCCCCCTCCTCATTGTCTCCTTCATCCTTCCCAAAGCCAACCCCTATTAGCCAGGGGATCTTCTATTTGACAGCATTCCTGAGGGCCAACTTTCTGATTGGTGTCTTCAGGTGACCCTCCCCAAACACTGGTCACCCCAAACCTCAAAGGAGTTCCCCAATAGCTTCCTTGAGACGAAGAATGCAGATTGTTGGGGTGGGTGGGGTTATTGGTGAGTAAAAGAGTATTGTCATTGAAGACCCTGAGAAATAGCAGAGGGAACCTGGTAATGAAGAAACATACGAGTGTGTGTGTGTGCATGCAAATTATCAGAGGTTTCTGATATGGGGGTGGAGTAAAAGCTATTATGTGAGCAGGACAGTATTTCCATCCCCTGTTAAGCAAAGTTATTGGAGGAGGAAAGAGGGTACTGCAGGATGAAAAGATTATTATAATGGGCACTCTGCAAGGTAAGAATTATTGTGAAATAGGGAGAACCCACCTCCACCCTCTCCCCCCACCCCCTCCATAGTAGAGTCTTCTTTTCTTCTCACCTGAGATCAGGGCGGGAGGGATTAGGTTTAAGCTATATCCCCGGGCCCCCAACACCTGCCGGGTCTCTGCACAACTCCGGGTGACCTTTGCCTCGCTCCCAGGTCCCGGTCCAGGACCAGGACACAGAGGCAGCAGCAAAAGCAAGAGAGGTCGCAGCACAGACATAGCTGCAGCCTCCTTGGGACAGCAAAGTGAGTCCTAAGGAAGAAAGAAAAGGCGCCAGAACTCTAGAATCTGGCTCTCCGCCGCAGGATCGCTTTGTTGGTCAGAGAAAGAGCACGACCCCCGAAAACCGAACACCCAGCACGATAGCCGGACCAGGAGGCATCTGAGGAGACAATGGGAGCAGGGAGCCGGACAGGAGGCGGGACCCGAGGCGGGGCCCCGCCAATGATAATAAGAAGCCGGCCCCGAGGGCGGGGTCAAGGGAGACTTTAAGCCAATGTAGTGGAGAAGCTCGGCGGGGGGGCGGGACACCGCCGCCAGCCGAAGATTTGGCGGGGTGGGGGCGTGGTCCTCCTCGGTGGGGCGTGTCATCTCGCCCGAAAGGAGGGGCCGGGGTGAAACTCAGCCTATTGTAGTCCAGAAACTAGACTGAAGGGGTTACAACTAGTTTAGTCCGAGGTCCGACCGGCGGAGGGGGTTTCTGGGCGCCGAGGGGGCGGGGCGCGGCTGGCGCACGCTGAGGAGAGCCGGCCGGGCTGGTGCGCGCTGAGAAGAGCCCACGTGACCCGGCCCGCCCGCTCGCGCCTGCACGAGGCCGCCGCTAGAGCGGCGTGATTAGAACGTGGCGAGCACGAGCTCTTATTATCCCAAGCCTCGCGACAGTTCTGAGCCCGGAGGCGAACGTTGGTCTTGCGCCTGCGCGTCCAGAGTTCCTCGTGCCTTCCCGCGTTTTCCCCCCCCCCCCAGACACTTCCACCACCACAGGAAGGGAAGCGGCGGGGCGAGGGTCGTCTCAGAGGTAGGGGTGACCACAAAGACCTGAAGGACTCGAAGCGGTGATTCTTCCGGGCTCCGTGAGGTTCCCCCCCCTCCTCCGCGGCCCGCGTCTCGGCCTTCGGCGGCCGAGGCCGACCCCCCCCCCCCCGGGCCTCCCGAGCGGCCAGGCCCAAAGCCCCTCACAGGCCTCACCTTCCGGAGAAGTAGACAGGGTTCCAGCGCCTTCCTGACGCGGCGTCTGCCGCCCTCTTCACATGGCGCCTCTACCCCAGAATGGTTCCGCCAGGAAAATGGCTTCCACAGACAGAGGCCCGCCGCGCTGCTTTTCTCTTCCTTTAATTTTCTTTGTTTCTCTGTCTGTCTCTCTCCCTCTCTCTCTCTCTTCCCTCCCTCCCTCTCTCTGTCCCCCCCCTCTCTCTTTCTTCTTTCGCGAGCCTAATTCTCTTGCAGGAGCCAGTTTGTGTCTCCTCAGATTCTAGTGGTATTTGGGAAACTTCCAAAAACCTTTGGCCCAGGGTCCTCTCTTGGCCCCCCCCCCTCCCCCGTCGTCCTTGCCTTCATTCTGGTGATGGAACTTAAATTACTTAAATTTTCCTTTTTTTTTTTTTGTTGGTCGTCGGCCTGAACTCTGGGGCTGGGCACTGTCCCTCAGCTCTTCAGCTCAAGGCTAGCGCTCTACCACTTGAGCCACAGCGCCACTTCTGGCTTTTTTCTTTTTGCTTATGTGGTGCTGAGGAATCGAACCCAGAGCCTCATGCATTCAAGGCAAGCGCTCTACCACTGAGCCACCTTCCCAGCCTTTTTTTTTTTTAATTTTCCCGTGTGTGTGTGTGTGTGTGTGTGTGTGTGTGTGTGTGTGTGTGTACTGGGGCTTGAAGGACTCAAGTATTTCCAGTCTTGCTTGGCTTTTTTGCTCAAGGCTGGTGCTCTGCCACCTGAACCACAGCTCTATTTCTGCATTTTTGCTTGGTAACTGGAGAGAAGCATCTCTCAGATTGGTCTGCCTGAGCTGGCTTAGAACCGTAATCTTCCAGATCTCAACCTCCTGAATAGCTAAGATTTCTGGTGTGAGCTACCAGAACCAGGCTGCACTGATGTCTTGGGCCTGGACTTACTTAAGGCTAGCATTCTACTACTTGAGCTACAGCTCCACTTACGGCTTTTTGGGTGCTTAATTGGAGATAGTTTCACAGACTTTCCTACTTAGACTGGCTTTGAACCATGATCCTCAGATATCAGCTTAGAGCTAAGATTACAGGCATGAGCCAGCATACTCAGCTTGCACTGGTGCTCTTAATAATCCTGATGTGGTAGAATCATTAGCCTTAGTTGTTTGTGGAGTTCCCACCTCCCAATTCCAGATCCGTTCCTTTGTAGAGAAAGGGAATGGTCAAGACTTGACCAAGTGTAAGAACCTTTTCCTTCTCTTCCTCCAGACAGACCGCCATGCCTACTCTGCGATCCTCCTCCAGGCCTCACAGCTCCTCTTCCCCAAGCAGTGAGGGTTCTCCTTTGCAAAAGACCCAGAATGACACACAGGGAGCCTTGTTTACATCTTCTGTTTACTCCGTTAATCTGCCATCTGAGGACAGAGACTCAGAGCAGGCATCAGAGGGGTAAGTAGAATTAATGAGAAGTTGTTTTGTAGTGGGGCCTCTTTCTGGAGGGTTGGCAGCTTTCTCCTTATCACTTTCCTCTGCTGGTTGTAATAATCATGAAACAATAGGAAAAACATCAGAAATGCTATACTGGTTCAGAATAGTGACCCTGTCCAGTTCTGTGGGCTGTTTCTTCCCTGCCTTACATGTTGTACACATCACAGATCTAATGGATTCTATTGAGAATTTTCTCTTTTCAGCATGACAAAAATGCTAATTTCTAAGAAAATTGGGCAGTGTTACCAAAAGAAGAAAAGAACACATCTTAAGTAATGAGTAAAAATACTAAAGCTACTAGGCAGGTGGTTCACATCTATAATCCTAGATACTCAGGAAACTGAGATCTGAGGATTACGATCCAAAGCCTGCCTGGGTAGAAAAGTCCATGAGACTCTTATCGGTAATAAACCACAGAAAAATACCAAATGTGGAGGTATGGCTCAAATGGTAGAGTGCTAGCCTTTAGCACAGAAGCTCAGGGATAGCTCCCAGGCCTGAGTTCAAGCCCCAGGACCAGTACACACACAAACACACACCTCTAAAGCACAAAAGGGCTGATACCTATTTTTGTGGTAGAGAATTTACTTAAAACTTTACCTAAAAGTCCAAGGTCTTAAGTTTAAAACTCCAGCACCAAAAAAAAAAAAAAAGTCTCGTTTTGAATTTGTCTTCCCACTTGCTCCCCTCCCCCAACATGGGGCTTGAGCTCAGGGCCTGAGGTGTTGTCCCTGAGTCCCTGAGCTCTTTCATTCAAGGATAGCTCTCTACCACTTTGAGCCATAGCCCCACTTCTGGTTTTCTGGTGGCTAATTAGAGATAAGAATCTCACGGACTTTCCTTTCCTGCCCAGGTTGGCTTTGAACTGCAATTTTCAGACCTCATCCTCCTGAATAGCTAGAATTAGAGGTGTGAGCCATCAGTGCCTGGCTCCAATTTTTGCTCTCTTGCGTTGACAACATTTCTGTGTTCAACACATACACACATTGGTAGAGGGTAGGGAGTGGGAAATTTACAAATAGTACTATTTGTTGCTTAAAATATTGTAAAGACCTGTGGTTCTTATTGGGAGTTAGTGAACAGTCCATCTATCTTTATCTGTTATGGCTCATGAGTTATTCTATGAAGGATTCAATGGTGTAACTTTTTATCTTTCTAGGAAAAAAAATCCTGATCTCATACAAGATTTACTATATCCTATTTATTTTAATTGGCCTTCTTTGAATCATTTGTGGTTCTGTCAGTCCTGTTGGTTATTAGATTATATCAGGTTAATAAACTTTAATTACTAGGACATGAGGTAAAATAAAACTTCATTTATGTATGTGATAAATGACTTCCTGAGCAATGCTGTTTTTTCTCCACGAAGAATAGTAGTCTCTTTGTGAATGTCATTTGATTTCCATATTCAGAAAGAATATTAGAGAAAGGTGGTACTTAACCTACTCAGTTCCTTCATTCTTCATCTCCATTGCTTCTAAGTGAAAGTTATCCTCTAAGACTTGCCCCTACTTTCTTCTAACAGTAAGCTTATCTCCTAAAATCTGAATGTGCTTTTTGTATGGAGATAGTGTACAGGTCGAAACAAGGATAAGTTATAACTTTGTTAAACTTTTACATAAACCTTTAAGAATTGTTCTTCATCACAGGGACACATACTCTGTGTCATCTGATGATGAGAGTGACTTTGAAGACAGCCTGCAACCTAATGTGAAGAAGAGAACTGCGAAACAACCACTCAGAATAACTCCTGTGAGTCAGTTTTGTTGTTTTTGAGCCTGGTCTGGGAATCAGAAGAACAAACAAACAAAAAGTAAAACAATACCCAGAGGAGGCTCAGATGAAATGTTTAAGGGGATTGATGAAGTGACTCACACATGTAATCCCAAATATTAAGGAGGCTGAGATCAGGAGGATCATAGTTTGAGCCAGCCAATTGAGATACTGCATCTCACATGCCCATAGAGACCCCATCTTGATGATGGTGCTGTGGTCATTCATTCTTGCTATTCTAGCTACACAGGAGGCATCAATAGGATCACAGTGTAGGCAAAAACATGAGACCTTATTTGAAAAATAACTATAAAGAATGTATGAAGCCTTGAGTTTAATTCCCAGTACTGACAAAGAAAAGGAGGTGGGGGAAGGAGAAAACAAACTAAAGACAAGAGAGTTGGGAAAGTGTTCAAATAGTAGAGTATCCATCTAACAAGCATGAGGCCCTCAATTTAAAGCCTGGAACCTAAATACAAAAACAAAAACAAAAAAAAAACAACAAGGTACAAGAGTAGGAAGAAGGCAATTTCTTTTTGAGAAAAGAGGAAGAGATTAGAATATGGAGATACAGAAATGAGACACACAGATTTACTTTTTAATGGTGGTACTGGGGATTGAATTCAGGGCTTTATGCTTGCTAGTTAGACTCTGTCACTTGAACCATACTTCTAGCCCATTTTTGCATCACTTTATGTCCAGGTCAGCCTGGGCTTCCTCAAGATGCTGGGGATAACAGGAACATACCACTATACTCAGCTATGGGGTGAAATGAAGTCTTACAAACTTTATATGCCCAGACTGGCTGTGAACCATAAGGCTCCAATCTCTACCTCTCAGTTCTGTAATAACAGGATGGAGCCATCATACCTAGTACTAACAGATCTTGTTTTACTATTATTATTTTATTTTTAATGACATAGCTGGGGCTTCAACTGGAGCCCTTACCCTCTTTCTCCCCACCCAAGTTCAATTCCACTAGTGGCATACACACACCATTTCTCTCAACCATATTCTATAGTTTTACTGGAGTCTTGCGTATCTTGGCTAAATATACCTAAATATTTTGTGGCTGTGTTCTTTTAAATGGCATTTTAAAATTTGCAGGTTTTAGCCAGGCACTGGTAGCTCATGCCTTTAATCCTAGCTACCCAGGAGTTAGAGAGCTGAGGATCGGCTTGAAGCCAGCCTGGGCAGTAAAGTCCTTAAGACTCTTCTCCAATTAACCACCAGAAAACAAATCATGGTGCTGTGGCTCAAAGTGGTAGAGCACTAGCTTTGAGCAAAGAAGCTCAGGGGCAGCACCCAGGTCCTGAGTTCAAGCCCTATGACCACCACCACCACCACCACCAACAAACAATTGCAGCTTTGTTGTTGGAATATAGGTAAATTTTTTTTTTTTTTGCCAGTCCCAGTGCTTGAACTCAGGGCTTGGATACTGTCCCTGAGCTTCTTTTGCTCAGGGCTAGTGCTAGGTAGGTATTTTTATATGTTGACTTTTGATCCTGTAATCATTTTTTTTTGGTTGGTTGTGGGGCTTGAACTATGGGACTGGGCGCTGTCCCTGAGCTTTATCGCTCAAGGTTAGTGATCTACCACTTTGAGCCACAGTGCCACTTCTGGGTTTCTGGGGGTTAGTTGGAGACAAAGAGTCTCACAGATTTTCCTGCCCGCACTGTCTTGGAACTGTATTCCTCAGATCTCAGCCTCCTGAGTAGCTAGGATTATAGGTGTGAGCCACCAGTGCCTGGTTATATTTTTTATTTTTTTTTTATTTTTTGGTCATGGGGCTTGAACTCAAAGACGTGGATGCTGTCCCTGAGCTTTTTCTACTCAAAGGTAGTGCTCTACCACTTCGAGCCACAGTGTCACTTCTGGTTTCTGGTTTTCTGGTGATTAATTGGAGATTGTCTCACAGACTTTCCTGCCCAGGTTGGTTTCAAACCTTGATCCTCAGCTCTCTGCCTTCTGAGTAGCTAGGATTACAGATGTTAGCCGCCAGCGCTCAGCTCAGATCCTGTAATCTTGTTATATTCACTTATGAGTTGTTATTGTTATTAGGATTCCCTCTATACATAGTCATGTCATCTGTGACTAAAGACAGTATTAGATTATTTTTCCTACTTATTGTTAGTACTAGGGCTTGAACTCAGGGCCTGGATGCTGTCCTTTTACATTTTTGGTCAAGGTTAACAGTTTACCACTCGAGCCATACTTCCACTTCTAGTTGTTTTTTTTGTTTTTTGGGTTTTTTTTTGCTGGTTAATTGGAGATAAGAGTCTTACAGACTTTTTTAAGGGCTGGCTTTGAACCTCAATCCTCAAATCAGCCTCCTGAGAGCTAGATTACAGGTGTGAGCCACTGGTGCCTGGTTATTTATTTTTCTAGCTTTTGCTTTTTTTTTTTTTTCTTCTGGTCCTGAGGCTTGAACTCAGCTGTCCCTGAGCTTTTATTTTGCTAGGGCTTTTATCATCTGAGCCACAGCTCCACTTCTGGCTTTAAAAATGTTTTTTGGTAGTTAATTTGAGATCAAAGTCTCCTGGACTTTCCTGCCTAGGCTAGCTTTGAACCACAATAATCAGATCTCAGTCTCCTGAGTAACTTGGATTACAGATGTGAGCCATCTGTGCCCAGCTAAAATTGGTGTTTTTTTTTTAATATTTTAAAAAATCAGTAAAGTGCTGTGCAATGAGAAGCTTAAGCCCACTGATAAAATAATGATGAAGTTAAGTGTCAACATCACTTTTATTTCATGCCTGATCTTTTTATACTTAATAGATGCCAAAACATCGAAAGAAGGGGTTCCAGACCGAATGTTGTAATGGCCAGAAAGAGGCAGCACAACCATTAGCCAATGATCTCTTTGATGCTGTGAAAGCTGCCAAAAGTGACATGCAGGTAAAGCATTGTTTGCTTCTTGATGCCATCTCACTTTGTTTAGAAGAAAGATAAGGAAAACTATTTGCAAACTTGATTTCTTTCTTTCTCCCCACCCCCACTCTGAGATCTGGATTGAGCTTGGTATCTGATGCTTTCACTCATTGGCTGGTGCTGTAACCACCTGAGCCATGCCTCCAAACCCCAAACTTGTTTTGATGTAGACACTGTAGTGAGTTTACCTAGTTAAGAAATGCCCTAGAGTGAGTCCTTGGATTTGTGTGAGAGACCTAAATGAGAGACAATGCTCTTTTCCTAAAGGTACCATAGAATGGGAACAATTTTGCCTTTATTGATTGATCAAGTAGGTCAGAAGAGGCACTAGATGACCTGGGAAAGGAAGCTCAGATATAGGCAGCAGCCTGTCACATTTTAGCTATACCTTGACAGTTATATCTAATTACTTTTCCCTCCGTGTGTGTGTGCGTGCGTGCGCGTGTGCGTGCGTGCGCGCGCGCGCGTGCTGGACCTGGAACTTGAACTCAGGCTGGGGCTCTGTCCCTGAGCTTTTTAGCCTTAGCTTCAAGGCTAGTACTCTACTGTTTGAGCCATAGCTCCACTTAGGCTTTCTTGGGTGGTTAGTTGGAGATAGTCTCATGCAGTTTCCTTCCTAAGCTGGCTTCAGACTGCAATTCTCAGATCTTGTCTTCCTGAGTAGCTAGGATTTTAGGCATGGGCCACTGGTGCTTGGCCCTACATTTCTTTATAGTGTTTTTTTAAATTATCTTAAAATGTATACAATATACACATACTTTAGGAAGTAAAACACTACCAGGACACCAGTGGCTCACACTTGTAATCCTGTCTACTCAGGAACCTGAGATCTGAGGGAATAAGGTTTAAATGAAGCCCCCAGCCTGAGTAGGAAAGTCTGTGAAGTTCTTTTCTCTCCCGTCCTTCCTCCCTTCTTCCCCCTCTTCTCCTTACCTCCCTTTCTCATTTCCCTCCCCTCCTCCCTCCCTCCCTCCATCCCTTCCTCCCTTCCTCCCTTCCTCCCTCCCTCCCTCCCTCCCTCCCTCCGTCCCTTCCTCCCTTCCTCCCTTCCTCCCTCCCTCCCTCCCTCCCCCTCCCCCCTCCCCCCTCCTTCCCCCTTCCTCCCTCCCCCTCCCTCCCTCCTTCCCTCCCTCCCTCCCTTCCTTCCTTCCTTCCTTCCTTCCTTCCTTCCTTCCTTCCTTCCTTCCTTCCTTCCTTCCTTCCTTCCTTCCTTCCTTCTTTTCTTTTGTTGGTTATGGGGCTTGATCTTAGGGTCTGGGTGCTGCCCCTGAGCTTTTCTGCTCAAGCTAGCACTCTACCACGGCACCTCTTCTGGTTTTCTGGTAGTTAATTGGCGATAGAGTCTCATAGCCTTTCCTGCCTGGGCTGGCTTCAGCCTCCTAAGTAGCCAGGATTACAGACTCGAGCCACTAGTGCCCAACAAATTTTTTTTTTTTTGGCTTGAACTTGGGGACTGAGTGCTGCCCCTGAGCCCTTTAGATCAACGCTAGCACTACCACGTTGAGCCACAGAGCCACTTCCTTTGTGAGATTCTTTTTTTTTTTTTTTTTTTAATTTTTTTATTTTTTTGGTTGGTTGTAGGGCTTGAACTCTGAGCCTGGGCGCTGTCCCTCAGTTCAAGGCAAGCACTCTACCGCTTGAGCCACAGCACCACTTCAGGTTTTCTAGTGGTTTATTGTAGGTAAGAGTCTCACTGACTTTCCTGCCCGGACTGACTTTGAACTGAGATCCTCAGATCTCAGCCTTCTGAGTAGCTAGGATTACAGGCGTCAGCCACTAGCACCTACCTGTCTCTCTGTGAGATTCTTATCTCCAATAAACTGCTAAAATATAAAAGTGCTGGAAGTGGAGCTTTGGCTCAAATGTCAGAGTGCTAGACTTGAGCAAAAGAGCTCAAGGACAGCACCCAATCCCTGAGTTCAAGCCCCAGGACTAGCACAAAAATAAAAAAATAAAGCACTTGACTAGAGATACAGCTCAGTGGTAGATTGTTTATATATAGGCCCTAGGTTTGATTTCCATATAAAAAAAAATGGTTGCCCAGATCTCTAGTCCTCAATTAAAAAAATGGAATTCTAATAGAGCTGTAGAGGTCCCTTATATATTCATTTTACTCAATCCTATTGCCACCCAGAGATAGCCACTAGACTGAATTTTGTGTGAATTGTGGTCTTATCTCTAACAAATAACTGAATCAGTCTTTATTCTTCTGTAACTTTAGTTAACTTCGAGATTCATCCATATCGTGAAACTGAGATTTTTTTTTTGTTTTTTGGTCGGTCATGGGGCTTTGAACTCTGGGCCTGGGCGATATCCCTGCTCTACCACTTGAGCCACAGCACCACTTCCAGTTTTCTAGGTTTATTGGAGATAAGTCTCACGGGCTTTCCTTCCCCGGGCTGGCTTTGAACCACAGTCCTCAGATCTCAGCCTCCTGAGTAGCTAGGATTACAGGTGTGAGCCACCGGTGCCTGGCTTGAAATTGAGATTTAAAAAAAATTTTAGTGAAGTATTTTAAAATTTCAAATACAATATTTTGCTAGATATATTTTTGTTATTTGAGTTATAACTTTATTAGGTTGTAGTCAGGGACTATGGTCTTTGGAATTTATGGAGGCAACTTTGTGACCTAGTGTTTAATCATTTTACAAAACCACATGAACTTGAAAAGCATGCCTGTTCCAGTTCTTGGGCATGGGATTCTCTTGAATGAGATAGAAATAATGAAATATGAAACTATTTTGATAGTTCTGTTGTTGCTGGGTTTTGGGGGGAGTTTAATTCATTCTTTGTGATAAATCAATAACAGGTAGAGATGTTAATATACGAAGGTGATTTTTTTTTTGAGTCATGCCTTTTGTATTAATACCTGTATTTGCCTTAAATTTTCTTGAGGCTTCTAAAAATTGTTCATTCACAGGTTTATAATTGTTATGTCTTCCTAGAGAATCAAACCTTTTATTGTTACATATTGATACTTTCCAGAACACGGTTTATTTGATATTATTCTTATCTCAATAATAGATTTGATTTTCTGTTAGTAATTTGCCTATTGTACCCCCCATCCCCCCGGGTCATGGGGCTTGAACTCCGGGCCTAGGTGCTGTCCCTCAGCTCTTTTTTTTTGGGGGGGTCCGGTCGTGGGGCCTGAACTCTGGGCCTGGGCGCTGTCCCTCAGCTCTTCAGCTGAAGTCTAGCACTCTACCACTTGAGCCACAGCGTCACTTCTGGCTTTTTTCTTTTTGCTTATGTGGTGCTGAGGAATTGAACCCAGGGTCTCAGGCATGCAAGGCAAGTGCTCTACCACTGAGCCACATTCCCAGCCCCATGTCCCTCAGCTCTTAGGCTCAAGGCAAGCACTGTACCACTTGAGCCACAGCACCACTTCTGGTTTTCTGGTGGTTTATTGGAGATGAGTCTCACAGATTTGCCTGCCTGGGCTGGCTTTGAAATTAAGTCCTCAGATCTTAGCCTCCAGAGTAGCTAGCATTATAGGTATGAGCCACTGGTGCCCGGCCTATTGTCTTTTTTATATTCTTCCATTTTCAGTTTTTCTTTGTATATTTAGGGCCTGTCTCTTGTATATAGTATGTATCTAGAGTATTTTCTTTCCTTTTCTTTTTTTTTTTTTTTGCCAGTCTTGGGGATTGAACTCGGGACCTAGGTGCTGTCCCTGAGCTTTTCAAAGGCTAGCAATCTACAGCTTGAGCCACAGCTCCACTTCTGGCTTTTTGTGGGTAATTGGAGATAGGTCTCATGGACTTTCTTGCCCAGGCTGGTTTCAAATCTTGATCCTCAGATCTCAGCCTCCTGAGTAGCTCATCCAGCTTAGGGTATATTCTTTATCCAGTTTGCTAAGCTGGGTTTTAACTTGAGAATGTAATCCTTTTACACTTGTTGCCACTTTTAATATATATCTTAAAATCTTATGCAATGCTTTGGATCAACTATAAGTATTACCAGCCATACCTCTAGCCCTTCGTGCCTCCCCCTTTTTTTCTTCTTCTGTGGGTTGTAGGGTTTGAGCTCTGGGCCTGGGCTCTGACCCTCAGCTCTTCAGATCAAGGTGAGCCCTCTAAAAATTGAGCCACAGCACCACTTCTGGTTTTCTTGTGGTTAATTGGAGATAAGAGTCTCATGGATTTGCCTGCCTGGGCTGGCTTTGAACCATGATCCTCAAGTCTCAGTCTTCTGAGTAGGTAGGATGATAGGTGTGAGCCACCAGTGCCCACTCCCTGGCCCTTTTTTAAAACCCTTTTTGAGACAGATTTTTTTAGCCTTTTTTTTTGTTTGTTTGTTTCCTCGGGCTTGAACTAAGAGTCTGGGCACTGTCTTTGAGCTTCTTTTATTCACAGCCACAGTGCCATTTCTGGCTCTTTCTGTTTATGTGGTACTAAGGAATCGAGCCCAGAGCTTTATGCATGCTAGACAAGTACTCTACCACAAAGCCACATCCCCAGCATTGTTCTTAGCCTTTTTTTGAGACAGGGTTTTACCATATAGCTAAAGCTAGTTTTGAGTTGTTTGTAATTCTCTTGCATCCACTTCTGAGTGCTAGGATTACAATTGTGCAGGATTACCACTATGTTCAGTACATTTGAGTTTGCTTCTAATATTTAATGTGCTTCTACTTTACCTTGTTGTTTTTATTCTTTCTGGATTTTCCTTTTTTTTTCTGCTAGTCCTGGGGGCTTGGACTCAGGGCTTGAGCACTGTCTCTGAGCTTCTTTTACTCAAGGCTAACATTCTACCACTTGAGCTACAGCGCCACTCCAGCTTTTCTGTTTATGTGGTACCAAGGAATTGAACCCAGGGCTTCATGAATGCTAGGCAAGCACTCTACCACTAAGTCACTTCCCAGCTTTTTTTCCCTTTTACTTACCTGTCTTTTATGAGAACCTGAGTATATATTAACTTCAGGTTACATGTTGTAATATAGTGTTTTAATTTTGCCTATTTCCCAACAACTTGGACTTTCCTATTTTTTACAATATATGTCCAACATTTATCATTTAACATTTGCTTTAGGTATCTATGTATTTTAAGTGTCTATTAACAAACTTTATTCATACATATCCAGTATGGTGGCCCAAGCCTATACATAGTATTTGTTATTCTCACTGGGCATACAAGTTCACAAGAGGGGCTAGGAAGGTGGCTCAGTGGTAGAGTGCTTGCCTCGCATGCATGAGGCCCTGAGTTCGATTCCTCAGCATCATATAAGCAGAAAAAGCTGGAAGTGGCGCTGTGGCTCCAGTGGTAGAGCGCTAGCCTTGAGCTGAAGAGCTGAGGGACAGTGCCCAGGCCCAGAGTTCAGGCCCCATGACTGGCAAAAAAAAAAAAAAAAAAATTCACAAGATTCCATTTTACTCAGTGGCCAAGTGCAGTGAAATGCAGCTGTCATCCCTGCTAATTCAGGGAAGCACAAATAGGAGGATCACAACCCAAGCTGGCCCAGCATAAAGTGAGACCCTACCACCCTACCTTGAAAATAAAAATCACAAACAGAACTAGAATATGCCTCAGGTGGTAGAGTTCTTATTTAGCAGTTATGAGGCCCTGAGTTCAATCGCCAGTACTGCCAAAATAAATTTTAAAAAATTTAAAAATTTGTTCCTCAAAGTTCATTTCCTAAGTGTCCTATGTTAAGATCACATTTTCTTTTTCTCAGCACATGGTTGCTGGTGGAGTCATCTGTCACTATAGCTTGGCATTGTCCAGTAAAGCATTTTATAGTGATAGGAATGTTACAAACCATGTTTCTAGTACAGTATCCACTAGGCTCATGTGACTATTAGGTTCTTGAAATGAGGCTGATACAACTAAGAAATTGGACTTTTTATTTTTATTTTAAAATTACAATGTGTGTGTTTGGTGTGCATGTGCACACACGCACACTCACATGCCAGTCCTGGGGACCAGAGTGCTGTTCTTGAGCTTTTGTTTTGCCCAAGGCTAGCATTCTACCACTTGAGGCACAGTTCTCCTTCTGGCTTTTTTTCCTAGTAGTTAATTAGATATAAAACTCTCATGGACTTTTCTGCCCAGGCTGGCTTTGAACCACAGTCCCTCAGATCTTGGCCTCTTGAGTAGCTAGGATTAAAAGCAAGAGCCACTGGCATCTGGCAGGACTATTTGTTTATTAATTTTGTTGTATTGGTTTTGGGGCTTGAATTCAGGGCCTCAAGTTCTTGTTAGGCTTTTTTCCTCATACTAGGCTCTATGAGCCACACCTCCATTTCTAGTTTTCAGTTAATTAGAAATAAGAGTCTTGAGGATTTTTTTTTTTCACCTAGACTAGCTCCAATCCTCAAATCTCAGCCTCATGAGTAGCTAGGATATAGATGTGAGCCACCTGCTGGACCTTTTTATTTTTTTTGCCAGTCCTGGGGCTTGAACTTGGGGCCTGGGTACTGTCCCTGAGCTTCTTTTGCTCAAGGCTAGCACTCTACTACTTGAGCTACAGTGCCACGTCTGGCCTTTTCTGTTTATGTGGTACTAAGGAATTTGACTCAGGGCTTCATGAATGCTAGGCAAGAACTCTACCACTAAGCCACATTCCCAGCCCTTGACCTTTTATTTTAGTTGATTTAATAGCCACATATGCTAACAGCTAAAATATTTGTACATGTCTCATTTCTGAATGTTTTAGTTTGTGTTGAATGCAGATCCTTTGTAAGTAATAATTGCTTTGATTATTTTCTGGTTTTGCTTTCCGATGTTTTATAATATGTTTAAAATACATTTGTTGTGCTTGGGATCTATTAGCTTTCTGGCTTTGAGTATTGTCTTTGAACAGGTGTGAAAAAATCTTTTCAAATATTATCTTGTCTTAATTTTATTATCTTCTGGAATTCAGTTAGGCATTATTAGAACGCACTTGTCTTCATGTCTCAGAGCAACTATTTCCATCTCTTAGTCTCTCTGAACTACATTTTGAATATTTTCTCTTACTCCCAGTTCACTTATCTTCTGTTTTCTGTGTCCAATCTGCTTTTAATTCATTTGTTAAAGTTTTAAATTTTATACTTTGCACTTATACAAAGTTTGGTCCATTTTCAATTTTTTTTAAAATCACACAAGGGGCTTGAACTCAGGGCCTGTTTGCTGTCACTGAGCTTTTCTGCTCAAAGCTAGTGCTCTACAACTTTGAGCCACAGCTCCACTTTCGGCTTTCTGGTGCTTAGTTGGAGATAAGAGTCTTAACAGACTTTCCTGGCCTGGCTGGCTTTTGAACTGCAATCCTCAGATCTTGGCCTCTTGAGTAGCTAGGATTACAGGTGTGAGCCAGTGTCCAGCAAGGGTACATTTCTTTTTGAACAATGTCCCTCTCTCTTTTATTTCTTTAATAATAATATAAACATAATCATTTGTTTAATCAATAACAGTGTACAAAGACTTGAATATATTCTTCTGTCTCTTCTAATTATTACTGTCAGTGCCTTGTCTATATGTTTTACTAGATTTTTACTGTCACTCTATTCAATGAATAGTTTCCCTGGAGCTATCTATTGGGTCCTGAGTCAAAGGTGGGTTTTAAATAATTGAACCTGAATGCTTATGACAGTTAAATGGAAATACTAAAGAATCATTTCCATAAAATCTCTAGTTGAGAGTATTCTGAAAAAATAGGTAATGTGAAATTGGATTTCAAATCCAGGCCTGAAGTTGCTAACGATGGTTATCTTCTCAAGAGAGAGTTCTTTTTTGCTATCCCCTTCTGCCCTATGAATTTATTTTTCATTCTTTGCTTTCATAAAGATGTGACTTTGTAAGACCCAGCTCTATATGGAGCCTCCTCTTGGACTATTTTTGTTAGAAAGACAGGCTTAGTCTCCTGTACTGTGTACCCCATGCTGTCTGGACACACAGTCAGGATCCCTGGGTTTAATCAAACCTCAGGCAAAAGTCAACTTCTAACCTGTCAGGATTGCTGCCTTCATCTCATTTTCAGCCCATATAGAATTCTGTCTTTCACTCTATTTCACTAATACGTTTTAAAAGATATTTACATGTTTTAATCAGAAGTTCAACTACTTCAGTTGAGAAGATGAAACAGGATTTCTGTTCCTTGTTATACTACCAGAAATCATCTACATTTCCCCCTAGTCTTTGGTGGATGAGTGGCTGGATAACTACAAGCAAGATGAGAATGCGGGGTTCTTGGAGCTCATTAACTTTTTCGTTCGATCCTGTGGATGTAAAGGTAATTTCCTATCCTTTTCTAATATCCAGTCTTATATTCATGTTATAAAACGTTACCTCCATTTAGGTGAACAGGATTAGACATTTTCTAAATTGAGGAAGAAAATAAAATAGAGAGGATTTTTACTTATTTTACTACATTTGTGATGAGTAAATAATTTAACCCAGTAGGGAATTATATAGGAACTCTCTTGAGGTAAGAGCTCTTGGAGGGAAAATAATTATGCTTATTGTAATGATAATGGAAGTTGACAAACTTGAAGTATGCTATCAGATGCCTTTTAATCTTTATAGATGAAATAGCCTCCTACTTTTTTGTTATTTCTTAGTCACTTCTGAAATTGTAGAGCCCCCAGATCTAAGTCATGTCATGGCTTTATTTATTAGGGTAGATAATATCAAGTTGTATTATAATAATCCAGCATCTGACGTATGCATATGTCTAATCCTGGCACTGGGAAAGTAAGGCAGGGAAGATCACAAGTTTGAGGCCAACCTGGAGTACATAGTTTTAGGCAAGCCCATTAGCTAACTAGGCTATTTAGCAAAATCCAGTCTCAAAAAACAAAACAGCAAAAAAAAAAAAAAAAGCCAGGCAGCAGTGGCTCATGCCTGTAATCCTAGCTACTCAGGAGGCAAAGATCTGAGGATTGTGGTTTGAAGCCAACCCAGGCAGAAAGTCTGTGAAGCCATTATCTTTAATTAATCACCAAAAAGTTGGAAGTGGAATTGTGGCTTATGTAGTGAAGTGCTGGCCTTGAGCAAAAGAAGCTCAAGGACAGTGCTCAGGCCCTGAGTTCAAGCCCCAGGACCAGCACCAAAAAAGTTGTGTATAGTAGTAACTCATGCGTATAATCCTAGCTCCTCAGAAAGCTGAGATCAAGAGGATAATGGTTCAGCCCAGGCAAAAGGTTCTTGAGACCTCATTTCAAGCAGCAAAATCTGGATGTAGCGGTTACCTATCATCCCAGCTATTGGAAAGTGTAAATAGAAAGATCATAGTCCAACCTGGCTCAGGCAAAAAACACAAAATCTTACCTCAGAAGTAACCAGGGCAAAAAGGGCTGAAGGTGTGGCTCAATTCTAGCAAGTGGGAGACTCTTGACTTTTAACCCCAGTACCATCAAAGAATCTGGCCTAGTCTTTTTTCTATCTTTTCTTTATTATTATTTTTTTCAATTTGGGGTCTTGTAAAAGCCATTACGTAATCTCTACATTTCCTTCCTTCTTTCCTTCCTTCCTTCCTTCCTTCCCTCCTTCCCTCCTTCCCCCCTTCCCTCCTTCCTTCCTTCCTTCCCTCCTGCCCTCCTTCCTTCCTTTCCTTCCTTCTTTCTCTTTCTTTCTTTCTTTCTTTCTTTCTTTCTTTCTTTCTTTCTTTCTTTCTTTCTTTCTTTCTTTCTTTCTCTCTCTCTCTCTCTCTTTCTTTCTCTCTCTCTCTTTCTCTTCCTTCCTTCCTTCCTTTCTTTTTTTTTTTTGCCAGTCCTGGGTCTTGAACTTGGAGCCTGGGCACTGTCCCTGAGCTTCTTTTGCTCAAGGCTAGCACTCTACCACTTGAGCCACAGTGCCACTTCTGGCTCTTTCTGTTTATGTGGTACTGAGGAATTGAACCCAGGGCTTCATGCATGCAAGGCAAGCACTCTACCACTAAGCCACATTCCTCACCCTCTCTTTGCATTTTCTAGAAAGGTGATTTCATGGCATGTACACAATTTGATAGAGACAGGCTTTTGATTAGGATTCTTCACCTAAGCTTTTTTCTATGTTTCCTAGGTCAGATAGATCTGTGAATGATTCCCAGTGTCTTCCTTTAAAGTACCTCATTTTATTTATTATTCAGGCTCTGTGACCCCTGAGATGTTTAAGAAGATGTCCAACTCAGAGATCATCCAGCACTTGACTGAACAGTTTAATGAGGTGGAGAAGATGATCAGGATTCTCTTGGCCAATATCTTCTTTCTGATTCTGGGAAATGTGGCAGCTTTTTAGAAGGAAGTGCTTAATCTCTTGGGTCTAAAAGATACCCAAAAAATTATGTGGTAAAATCAGATAATCTGGAGTTGGGGAGAATAACAGAAATCATATATATTGGAAATACCATTTTTACTATATTATTGGTTGTGTTTGTTTGTTTTGTTGGTATTGTGGTTTGCCCTGGGCTTTCTAGGCAGGCTTTCTAGCACTTAAATAAGGTTTTCACTTTTAAGTGCCTATGGCTTCATGGATCTGATAATAACTTTTTTTCTTTTAAACAATTTTTTGTAGGATTCAGGGGAATATCCCTTGACAGCTCCTGGGCCATCCTGGAAGAAGTTCCAGGGAAGCTTCTGTGAATTTATAAAGACATTGGTCTGTCAGTGCCAGTACAGCCTCCTCTATGACAGCTTTCCTATGGATGAGCTCATCTCCCTGCTCACTGGCTTCTCAGACTCTCAGGTCCGCGCCTTCCGTCACACTAGCACCTTGGCTGGTGAGCACTTGTTGCACTGTGGCATCTTTGGGGGAGGAGGGTTCCATTGAATTTTTTTTCTCTGGTTCTGGGTCTTTTTTTCACACCTATATCTTAGCTCTTTATTTTAATATCTACCTTTTAATTTCAAACCTCTATGCATTTCTCACTATTGAACACATGAAAAGAACTATATAACTTTCTAGCCTTAATGTCTTATAGCTCACCCCTGTACATATGCTGGGGGTTAAAAAAAGGCCAAAAGAATGAAGAGGGAAAGCCTAGTGCTATGGCTTATGCCTGTAATCCTAGCTACTCGGGAGGCTGAGATTTGAGGATCATGGTTCAAAGCCAGCCCAAGCAGGAAAGTCCATGAGACTCTTTACCTACAATTTACTACCAGAAAACTGGAAGTGGCGCTGTGGCTCAAAGTGATAGAGTGCTAGCCTTGAGAAAAAGAGCTCTTGGACAGTGCCCAGGCCCTGAGTTCAAGCCCCATGACTGACAAAAAAAAAAAAAGGGAAAGTCTACTCTAGGGCAGTAGTCTTAAGCCTTTAGAATCACCCTACTTTAACCCTTCAATGTCTTTGCCTTTTTACCTTCTCCTTTGTTTGTTTGTTTTTTGTCAGTTGTGGGGCCTGAACTCTGGGCCTGGGCACTGTCCCTGAGCTCTTCAGCTCAAAGCTAGAGCTCTACCCCTTGAGCTTTTTCTCCTTATGTGGTGCTGAGGAATTGAACCCAGGGCCTCATGCATGCAAGGCAAGCACTCTACCACTGACCGAGCCACCTTCACTGCCCTACCTTCTCTTTTGAACTCATGCTCTCTTTGACATATAATTGTTGTCTTGATTTTTCATTGACTCAAAGCTATGAAGCTGATGACCTCTTTAGTAAAAGTTGCCCTCCAACTGAGTTTGCACAGAGACAACAATCAGCGGCAGTATGAAGCTGAAAGAAACAAGAGGCCAGAGCAGAGAGCTCCTGAGCGGCTGGAGAGCCTGCAAAAGAAACGCAAAGAGGTGAGGAAAGAGTGCTTTCTACCTCTTCCTTCCCTTCCTCTCTCCCTCCCTCCATCTTTCCCTCCCTCTCTTTTTTCCTCCCAGCTTCCATCTTCTGCTGTTGCAGACCACCTCAGTATTTTTCTCGGTAAGAATAGGCCTCTCGCAGTCTTTCAGATAAGGAATTAGGGAGTTTGGCAATAGCTTATTAGACCAGTCTGTCAGCGCTCATTATATGTTCAGAAATTATGTCCAGGGCAAGCAGAGTGGTTTAAGTGGTAGAGCATCTGACTAGCAAGCATGAGACCCCGAGGTCAAATCACAATATCACCCAAAAGAAATCATGTTTGATTTTTGAGTTTTTTGTTCCTCCACTTAGTTCAGCTTCCATTTGCATTCATTGTCAGCATTGTTTATATGCAGTACCTGAATGTCATACAAAGAGTTCATTTTTGACCAGTATGTTAAGTGTGCAGTGTGGAAGTTATCACAGGATTACTGAAAGCCAACTACTGACAAGGAAGGTGATGTCATGAAGAAATGGAAAGTGCTGGGCACCAGTTACTAGCTACTAAGGAGACTAAGATCTGAGAATCGTTGGTTCAAAGCTAGCTGGCAGGAAGATCGATGAGACTCTTATTTCCAGTTTTTCACCAAAAAGCTGGAAATGGAATTGAGGCTCAAGTAGTAGAGCACTAGCCTTGAGCAAAAAAGTTCAATGATAGCACCCAGTCCCTGAGTTCAAGCTCCAGGACTGGCACAAATAAAGGGTGGTGGTGGTAATTTTGCCTATTTATCTGTTTAAATCAGATGAGTAATTGCCCAGTATGGTATATTTTAAGTGTCAATGTTAGTAAGATTTTTTTTTGTCACTCTGACAAACACTTGAAGGTAGTCTAAAGTGAAGAGGATTTATTTTGGTTTGCAGTTTCAGAAGTCTTAAGTTCAAGTCCATTGATCCATTACGCTGTTCATGGAGGGTAGAGTACTTACAGTTCAATCCCCAGTACTGCCAGAAAAAAAATCATGCTAAGAGTCTGTGATAAATCAAGAGTTATCCACCTCATAGCACAGCCATGATGCAGGAAGGGAAAGATCCAGTGATAAGATTCACCCTTCAAAGATCCCCCAATAATCTACTTCTTCTCAGTATGCCCCACTACCTAATAGCTCATTCAGGTATAAGTTCATCAGTAGATTAATTCATCATTGAAGCTAGAGTCATCATGATCTAGTCACCTCTTGAAAGTCTTATTAGCTGGCAGCCCAGCTTTTAACATGAGCTTTCATGAGACATTTTTTGATTGAAACTGGTACTAGGGCTTGAACTCAGGTTTTTTGTGCTTTCATTTGACTTTTTCACTCATGGCTGGTGATCTACCACTTGAGTCATGCCTCCATTTCTGTTGGCTTTTTGTTTGTTTTTGCTAGTTAATTGGAGATAAGAGTCTCTTGAATTAGTCTTCCTGGGGTGCCTTAGAAATGTGGTCCTCAGTTCTCAGACTCCTAAGTTGCTAGGGTTATCCTTTTCTCCTTATTATTTCCGCCTCCTCGGTATCATTCTTCAAACTAGGGTTTTCAGCAGTGGCACTACTGACTTGGGAGCGGTTCTGTCTTTGTAAAATGTTTAGCAGTATCCCTGGCCTCTGTCTACTGGGTAACAGTAGTACCTTGCTGCCCCCCTAGTTGGGACAGTGAAAATTACCTTCAGACATCGATAAATTGTCTAGTTGAGAACTTCTGTTTTATTTTTTTCTCTTTATGTATGGTTCTGCTTCTTGTGCTGGTCCTAGGGCTTGAACTCAGGACCTGGATGCTGTCCCTGAGCTTTTTTTTTGGGGGGGGGTCCAGTTGTGGGGCCTGAACTCTGGGCCTGGGTGCTGTCCCTCAGCTCTTCAGCTCAAGGTTAGCACTCTACCACTTGAGCCACAGCGCCACTTCTGGCTTTTTTCTTTTTGCTTATGTGGTGCTGAGGAATCGAACCCAGGGCCTCAGGCATGCAAGGCAAGCGCTCTACCACTGAGCCACTTTCCCAGCCCTGTCCCTGAGCTTTATTGCTCAAGGCTAGTATGCTCTTACCTTGAACCATAGTGCCATTTCCTTGCTGATTCTACTTCTATCAAACTGTATTTATTGCAAGTTTATTTTTCCAGTGACAAATAACCAAAAAACATGTATCTGTGCAAGGGCTCAAATCTATAATCCTAGTTACTCAGGAGGCTAAGATACAGGGGATTGTGGTTTGAGGCTAGTTGGGGCAGAAAAGTCCACAAGACTCCATATCCAAAATAACCAGCTAAAAACCTGACCTGGAACTATAACTCAGGTGATAGAATGCCAACTGAGCAAGCAAGCCAAGCAACTACAAAGAACTGCAAAGAAAAAATATAAATATAAGTATCAGGGCTTCTGAATGGACTAAGTGCACAGTGGATATTATATTCTACCAAACAGAAATAAACCTCTGAGACATTGAGTATCCTGCTTTGTCTAGAATTAGAAATTTATTTTTTTTGGAGGGGGTCCGGTCATGGGGCCTGAACTCTGGGCCTGGGCGCTGTCCCTCAGCTCTTCAGCTCAAGGCTAGCTCTCTACCACTTGAGCCACAGCACCACTTCCGGCTTTTTTTCTTTTTGCTTATGTGGTGCTGAGGAATCGAACCCAGGGCCTCATGCATGCAAGGCAAGCGCTCTACCACTGAGCCACCTTCCCAGCCCTAGAATTAGAAAATTTTAATGAGAACATCGGAGAAGAGACCAAGTGTTCACTCTATGTTTTCTAATAGTAGAAAGTGTATGGAAGTTGCTCTTTTCTATATCTTTGTGGCCTTACATTTTGGAGGTACAAGAAAGGTGAATTGACTTGTTTCTTCTTGTCCTTCAGCTCCATGAACATCAAGAGGAGATAGAGGGAATGATGAATGCCATCTTTAGGGGTGTCTTTATCCATCGATACAGGTGAGCTCATGGGCTTCTCCTCTTACTAAAGCTTCTTGGTTATGGCATCTGTAGAAATGATAAGGCCCTTTTCCAACCATCAGTTATGTGGTTTATCCCAGAATTAATGTAGCTGGAATAAAAACTAAAAATGTTTCAAATTAGTAAGGTTTGATTTATCTTAACCTACAAAGGATCTTATAAACTCTTTGTGGAGAGAAAATAAGAGAGGATAAGGCGTTGTAGGATATTTTGCTCTAACTTTGCCCAAAACCTGATAAAGCCTTCCATCATTCTGTGATTGGAGACATGAAAAGATAAGCTCAAAAAATCAAAAAGTGGCTTTTCTGAGGCATGTGTGAAACTTACCAAGCCTTTTTCTAGCCCAGCCTGTGGTTTTACTCTGTCCTAAAGAAGAATATTTACAGTAGTTTCTCATTTTGAAGTCTGCTTTCCTCAGCCCCTTCACTTGATTTCTTCTTTGCTTGAAGTAGAATGAAAGCACACACATGCACATAGACATCTTAGCTAATTGTTAAATGAACTTTCAAAATTGGGTTTTTAAAGGGGTATGGAGTCCAGGTGTCAGTGGTTTATGCCTATAATAGTAGCTCTTCAGGAGGCTAAGATCTGAGGTTCTTTAGAAGCCAGCTCAGGTAGGAAAGTCCATGATTCTTGTCTCCAATTAACCACCAAAAGCCAGAAGTGGAACTGTGGCTCATATAGTAGAGTGCTAGCCTTGAATGAAAAAGCTCTGGGACAGCACGCAGGCTCTGAGTTCAAGTCCTAGTGTGAACGTTAAAAAGCAGTGGTGGTGTGGTGGGGGGAGTGGAGGACAAGTTTGTATAGGACTGGTTCACCTATCTCAGAGATCCTACAGAAAGGTTTACTTTCATGTATTTTGTATATCTTATGTTCTACATTTTGTGTTGGCATTGAGAGGGGGAAATGAAAAGCATTGACTTGGTATTTGAGAGGGCTGTTGATAGTGAGATAGGAGAGAAGGTTGATATATCTGTCTATCTAGGGACATCCTTCCTGAGATCCGTGCTATCTGTATGGAGGAGCTTGGGTGTTGGATGCAAACCTACAACACCTCTTTCCTCACGGACAGCTATTTAAAATACATTGGCTGGACCTTGCATGATAAGGTAGGGTCAAGTTGGTCTCCTCACTGTCCCCTTCCTCCTCTTCCTGTCCCAGAACACTTAAGCTTCTTCTAGTCATGTCATTTAGGCATTTCACCTAGTAAGCCAATATCAACCAGTCAAGGCACTGAATCTTGTGATTGTCCCAGTGTTGAGGAAGGTGGCATAAGGTAGAAGAAAGGAAGTTATATCCAGGAGATGAAATGCTTTCAAACCTGATGTATCAGGAAGACTTTCCCTATGAAAAAGGACACAAGTTGTTGATGGATTGATAGCACAAGTACAGGGAGGTAGCCTCAGAATTCTTTCTGTCATAATTGCTTGAGTCTTCTATGACGCCTTTGTGTTTTGAATAACACAAAGCTGTTCAATGTCTTTTTTTTTTTTTTTGGGGGTCCGGTCGTGGGGCCTGAACTCTGGGCCTGCGCGCTGTCCCTCAGCTCTTCAGCTCAAGGCTAGCTCTCTACCACTTGAGCCACAACGCCACTTCCGGCTTTTTTCTTTTTGCTTATGTGGTGCTGAGGAATCGAACCTAGGGCCTCGGGCATGCAAGGCAAGCGCTGTACACTGAGCCACCTTCCTAGCCCTCAATGTCTTCTTACATCTCAGAATCCTCACCTTCAAGTGTACCTAGGTTCCAAATTGAAGAAGCTGTGAAGGGCTTAACAGAAGTAAATGGTCAGCTTTGTTTCTTTTCCCATTTGTTCCTCTTCAACAGCAGGGGGAAGTGCGTCTAAAGTGCCTGAAGGCTCTAAAAGGGTTGTACAGCAACCGGGAGCTGATTGCACGTCTAGAGCTCTTTACCAGTCGCTTTAAGGTATGACGAGAACAACACTTCCAGGATTGACCTTGGCTGTGATATATTCACATTTCCTCACCTCAGGTTTCTCTCCCTGTTCTGACATTCCTATTCTATCATCTACTCTTTTTTTTGGGGGGGGTGGCCCGGTCATAGGGCCTGAACTCTGGGCCTGCGCTGTCCCTCAGCTCTTCAGCTCAAGGCTAGCGCTCTACCACTTGAGCCACAGCGCCACTTCCCGGCTTTTTTCTTTTTGCTTATGTGGTGCTGAAGAATTGAACCCAGGGCTTCATGCATGCAAGGCAAGCGCTCTACCACTGAGCCACCTTCCCAGTCCCTCTATCATCTACTCTTGTATTTTATCTTTAGGAATTTTTAAATACTAAGAGAATGCCATACTTTAGAATGTGCAGTGAGATACTGGGCATTGTTTTCTTCCCAACAGGACCGAATGGTGGCCATGGCCATGGACAAAGAGTACGATGTGGCAGTGGAGGCCATCAGGCTTCTGACTGTTATCCTGAAGTGAGTCCTGGGAAGTGGAAGTTGGCAACCCAGGTGAACCTTTCTGACATCAGACAGGTTCCTTCCAGAGCCCTGTCTCCATCTGTCATAGATTGAATTCCTTATTTGCAGATTGGAAGACAGATGATTCCTGAGTTTCAGGACAAAGGGAGAACTTTCCTATCTTCTCGAAGTCCATACTCTTCTGTCTCCCACTTTTTACTTAAAAGTTCTGAGTCATATCCTCATTGTTTTGGCATAATTTTGTTTCTAACTGATTGTGAGAGGGCAGAGTCCATAGACACATCAATGCTCCTTTTCTGTTCACAGGAACACAGAGGGAGTTCTGACTAATGCAGACTGTGAGATCATTTACCCCATTGTGTATGCTTCCAACCGGGTCCTGTCCTCTGCTGCAGGAGAATTTCTGTATTGGAAGTGAGTAGGGGTCTTACTGTGTTGTATTGTTTCTCTCCCTCTTGTCCACTGCTGCTCTGCCTGAGGACTCCTTAAACATACTGAAATCTCTGTTGGTGTCTCCTTTTACTTTCTCAACCCTGTGGACTTTCCTTATCCCTTTGTCCTCTTCTTGGGCCCGTCTTTCCCTCCATAGTGATTACTGCTTCCTCATGCCTTCCATACTACTCTCCCCATGTATCCATTTCACAGGCTCCTCTGTCCTGAGAGTGAGGCAAGAGTGGGGGGTGGAAGAGAGCAGGACCGATACCGGAGTCTACATGCCCAGAGGAGTTTTTTCTACCTTCTGATGGCCTTCTTCATGAAGAGTGAGGTAATGGAGATACATGGCTGTTGTGCCTAAGACATGGAAGTAGAGAACAGGGCGAGCGATGTGATTATCAGCAATCACTTCGTGGAGCAGTTCCATGTGGCATCAGTAACTCACTCACTGTGCTTCTCCTCCAGCTCCATGAACATGCTGCTTACTTAGTGGACAGCCTATGGGACTGTGCAGGGTTTCGGCTGAAGGACTGGGAGAATCTGGCAGGCATGCTACTGGAGAAGGACCAGAGTGCGTGTCATGTGGTAACTGGGGATAGGCACTCTGCACCTCCTGTTATAAAACTGGGAAATATTTTTTTTTGCTAGTCCTGGGGCTTGAACTCAGGGATTGGGCACTGTTGCTTAGCTTCTTTTGCTCAAGGCTAGCACTTTACCACTTGCGCCACAGCACCACTTCTGACTTTTTTTGTTGATGTGGTGCTGAAGAATGGAACCCAGGGCTTCATGCATGCTAGGCAAGCACTCTACCATTAAGCTACATTCCCAGCCCTGGGAAAGATTTTTTTACCTGACCTAAAAAGCAGTAGAGTGGTATGTATGTGCCAAGGGAGACTTGGAGGTGGGAGGTAGGTAATTGTATTTCTCTTTTTGATCCTTCTGCCAACCCAGACTTGAGCAATGTAGAGGAGAGGACACTGATAGAAATCCTTGTGTCCAGTGCCCGGCAAGCTGCAGAGATTCAGCCTCCTGTAGGACGAGTCACTGGGAAAAAGGTATGGTATAAGAGTTGGGTTATGCAATATATGAGTAGTACTGATGCCAGATAGATATTAGGTGTCATTCTAGCTAGCTTCTGCAACTTCTTAAGATTCCCATCTCCAGAAAAAGGAACTCCGAAGGAAGTTGCTGCATCCTCTTTTCCTCTCTGGGTAGAGAAGGAGTCAATGAGGCAGAAAGACATGCAGACACTGGCTGGGCCATATTTGTCCACACTTGCTTTCCCCTAATTCCAGGGCCTAACTGCTAAGGAACGTAAGCTCCAAGCCAATGACAAGGCAAAGCTAGCAGAGCAGCTCATTCCCTTGCTACCCCAGCTCCTGACAAAGGTATCACTTTTCCATCTGGCCTGGGGGTGTGGAGGTAAGGGTACAACCCCCATGCAGGGATGGGGGAGGGATAGCCTGTTAACAGACAGGGCTCTCCCTCTACCACCACAGTTCTCAGCAGATGCAGAGAAAGTTGCTCCCCTACTCCAGCTTCTCGACTACTTTGACCTCAGTATCTACTGTACTGGGCGCTTAGAGAAGGTAAACAGGCAGTAAGATCTGTTTTCTATACCTCACTACTCCCCTGGTAGGACTAGAATCCATAAGCCTTTCCCTTTTTAGGCATCTTATCCTTGGAGTTACTGCTTGCAACCTTTTTTCTTCCCTGCTCAGCCTTTGTCCCACCACACTGACTTCTCCTACCCTTTTTCCTCTCAGCACCTGGAACTGCTTCTGCAGCAACTTCAGGAGGTGGTAGTAAAGCACGTGGATCCAGCAGTACTAGAGGCTGGTGCACACGCCCTCCATCTGCTTCGCAAGCCTGAGTTCACCTTTTTCAACCGTGTGGACTTCACCCTTAGCCAACTAATGGAATTGCTCACTGGCCACTTCAAGCAGGATCTCAATGAGCTGCTGCAGGTAGGAGTGGAGTAAATGGCAGGACACTTTGAATCAGATAGGAGAGGGCCCCCAAATCAGGAAGATGGATAAGTGAGTTCCTGGGCAAATCCTTCTGTGAGTCTTCTCTTTCAGTCATCCTTCCTTGACGAAGACGAGATATACAGTCTGGCAACCACAATGAAGCGCCTTTCTGCCTTCTACACGTAAGCATCACTGCTCCTTCAATCCCACTTCTGCTGGTGTCTGGGTAGTTGGTTTCTTCATTCTGTTTGACCATAGTGTCTCTCTTTCTTGCCATAAAGTGCTCATGACCTGACTCGATGGGAGCTCTATGAGCCATGCTGCAGACTTCTCCGAAAGGCTGTTGATACAGGAGATGTTCCTCACCAGGCAGGTAGATGGGTGGAGATGTGGACCCTAAGAAGGCACTCTTTAGAGCTGTGTTCTGGATGGCATTCTCTCCTAGCTAGACCCAGACCCAGACCCAATGTGTGGAGTGAACACACAGGAAGACCAGGTGGGCTCTCTCTTTTCATTCCTCTTTCAGAAGGTTCCCGGTGCTTGAGTGTTGAATACAGCCATCCTCTTGGGCTCCTTAGAGTCTAGGAGAATATTGAGGGATTCTAGGAGATGGTGACTAAATTAGGGAGATGTCAACATTTCTGTTTATAAAGAAGCCTCTAAAGATTGTCTGGAATATTAGTTCTTTGAAATGTCAGGGTTTTTTCCCCCTCCTCTAGAAAAAGAGTTGGTTTCCTTATCACATTTTCTCCCTCCTTATTGTTTTGTGCGTATGTATATCAGATCTCCCCATTCCTCTCCCTTGCATGCTTTGCCACTTGCCTCAAACCTCATTTTGCTGACATTTCATGGTTGCAGGTCGTCCAGCCAGCCTTGACTCTTGTATATTTTTCCATTCTATGGACAGTAGCCCACTTCATTGAGTCAGCTGCTTCTAAGGTGAGGCTAGGTTTAAAGGAGGGGAACAGATATTCAATGCCCTAGTCTTCATTCCTCCCACAAGCTACTGTCTCCATAGAATCAGCTGTTGAGTCTGAAGGACAGGATGACGGCCTTCTGCGAACTCTGTCAGAGCTGCCTCTCTGATGTGGATCCGAAGATACAGGAGAAGGTGGGAGCAGGGAGGATGTTGTCTGAGGAGACACCATGCCATAGGGACATTAGCTGTGTGAGTCTAATCTTGGTAAATATTCTGTTTCTTTAATCAGCCTTTTTTTTTGTTATTACCTCCAACAGGCTTTTATTGTGTTAAGTGATCTGCTTATCATCTTCAGTCCTCAGATGACTGTAGAGGGACGAGAGTTCCTTCAGCCCCTTGTGTTTTCTCCAGAAGCTGCTCTCCAGTCTGAGCTAGCCAGCTTTCTCATGGACCATGTCTTCCTCCAGTCTGAAGACATGAGCAGTGGTATAGGAACTCTATACCTGGGGACTTAGGCAGGATTTGGGGCTGGGTTGGGCTCAGGTATTAAAGGCAATAGGCCTAAGCTTGTGATTGGTTCTGCTGTTGATGGGCAGGTCACTCCTACTTCGAGGATGATGAACAAATAGAGCAGCTGCACCACCGGCGCCGCCTCCTCTCTGGGTTTTGCAAACTACTGCTCTATGGAGTGCTAGAACTGGATGCAGCCTCAGATGTTTTCAAACACTACCACAAGGTATAGTGTGGCCCTACAGACACTGAGAAGAGGACGCCAAGTTGAGCACAATCTGGCGTCAAACACCACAGCATTGTAGAAAGGAAGGGAAAGGAGGGCAGGACTATGAGGGTATCATGTAGTTCAGTCCCCAGTACCACCAAAAGGGATGGATGGATAGATAGATAGGGAAAGAGATTTAGACAGTAGATCATTGTGTGAAAATTGGAGGGGAAATACCTTCTTCTTTTCCTCTTTCTATTTTTTCTCCAAACTGAGTTTATGGGATGGGATGATGTAAGAAGGAAAAAAAGAATAGAGAAGGGATCTGTTAGATTATTTGGACTTTGCCAGAAAACCACGCAGACATCCAGGTACAGAGAACAAAGAAAGGTTTATTGCTGGGAAAGGGGGCTGGCAAGACCCCTTTTCACAAGGGAGAAGTGAGAAGAAGCACTGCCTATTGTCTAAGGTGACTTATATAACCTGGAGATTTCAGAGGGGCTAGAAGGGGCTAGGAGGTGGAGACCCTGGTATGGATGTATGGGCCAGGGGCTTTATCATGGCAGACTAAATAGTAGATAAGGGGCCCTGCAACTGCCCAGACCTGAAGGTCACTGAAGGGCTCTTGTTGCATTATATGGTGGTAGCTTCCCCAGAGAAGTGCCATCTGAAGGTAAAGGGGATTGATGGCTGATTATTTACTGGTTGATTATTTACTACTTTTACTACATGGGCCTAGCATTTACCTAAGAAGGGAGCATGCTAAGCTGTGGAAAGGGGAAGGAGCGTACTAAGCTATGGGAAGGGAGCTCTTTGGGCTCTTAGCCATTCCTCACAAGATACCTAGATGTGTAGCTTAGCATCTCAGCCTCATCTGTACCACTTATGTTTACTGAGCACCTTGTGTACTAGGCCTGCCAGGCAGGAAACAGCACAGAGAAGCTTCTGCTCTGTAGGTTCTGTCTTTGGGGGGAAGAGGGGCTCATATAGGTTGTAGTGCTGTGTGATAGTGGGTGCTAGCAGGCTGACTCAGGAATTGGGCTCAGGTAAAATCCTTTTCTTTGGGTTTTCACCTAAAGTCTTGATTTCTTTTGAGTTCTGTTCCCATTAGAGAAGAGGTCTATCTAGTTGGGAGTTGTTTTATGCTTATTCATGTTTATCTAAGGCTCTTTAGGAAATAGACATGGTCAGGGATATAAACAAATCAAAGAGGAAGTTTTTTAACCTGTGTTTAAACATTTTCTTCTTTCCTGTTTCCTCATCTTCAGTTCTACAGGGACTATGGTGACATTATAAAGGAAACATTGACAAGAGCAAGGCAGATTGACCGAAGTCATTGTTCCCGAATCCTGCTGCTAAGCCTCAAGCAGGTGCTCCCTAAAGAGGGCCTTACACCTGTGACATCCTCTCCAAGGTCCCCACCACTCTCCCGTCAGCCGCTTAGACCATGAGATCTTTGAGAGCAGGAACTTTCTTATTTTGACTCTCTCTTCACATAACAGGTTCTTTCTTGCCTTGAAGTCCCTTAAAAAATGTTTCTGAAACCAGGTATCAGTGGCTCACACCTGTAATCCTGGTTACTCAGGAGGCTGAGATCTGAGGATCACCATTAAAAGCCAGCCTGGGCAGAAAAGTCTGTGAGACTCTTACCTCCAATAAACTCAGAAAAAGCCAGAAGTGGTGTTATGGCTCAAGTGGTAGAGTGTAAACCTTGAGTACAAAGAGGGTAAGGGACATTGCCCAGGCCCTGAGTTCAAGCCATAAGACCAACAGAAAGAAAAAAAGAAGGAAGGAAAGAAAAATAAAGAAAAAGTTTCTGACTGGGCAGTTTCTACCCCAGCCTAATTGTCTGTTAAGATGTAGGAGGACCAACAATAAAGCAACAGGGAATTCCTCAAGTTTTAGTTTATTCTCTCACAGCCTCCTTTAGTTGCCAGGCTTATTTATTTATTTATTGTTACAGAGCAGGGCTGAAACCTCTGCTGCAGGGGTCAGACACTGAAGCACTGTCCTGGGATTAAAAATAGGGCAAAAGTAGTAGATGCCCTCCTAAGCCTCATGGGATTTTTGGGCAGAGGAGAGAGTGTTTTTCTTCCTTAGAGCTATGTTGTTCTTTCTTTCCCAATCATGCTTTGTCTTCCTGACACAGCTGTACACAGAATTGCTGCAGGAGCAGGGGTCCCAGGGCCTGAGTGAGCAGCCAGCCTTCATGGAGATGAGAGACCTCGCCCGGAGGTTTGCCTTGAGCTTTGGACCCCACCAGATTCAAAACCGAGATGTTGTAGTCAAGCTTCACAAGTGAGGAAATGCTGGTTGGAGGCCCAGTACAGGGAGGGTGGGGAGTTGAGTCCTGGAGAGGGGGTTATGTGGAAAAGCAGTAGTCTTGTGGTGGTGGGTATACTTTGGTTGACAAGAGGGAATTTCAGAATGAATTAATTGTGCCCAACCAAGGGAAGGCATCAAGTTCTCCTTGTCTGAGCTTCCTCCAGCTGGCTCCTCCGGGGAACCCCCCAATCTGGCATTCCTGGAACTCCTTTCAGAATTTTCTCCTCGCCTCTTCTATCAGGACAAACCACTCATGTAAGTTAGTGGGTGGATGAGCAGAGATGTGGGTTACAGAAGGCTTAGTAGCCACGTCAGCCTTTTCGCCCCTTCCTAGACTCTCCTACCTGGACAAGTGTCTACAGCAGGTCTCCCAGACACCAAGCCCTCCGTGGGGTCCAGTGACCACCTACTGCCACTCACTCAGCCCTGTGGAGAACATAGCAGAGGGCAGCCCACAGAATCGCCTCCAATCCAAGACAAGTCACATTAGAGGTAGGGGGTTGGCAATACCTTCTGATACCTCTGCTTAGAGGAGCAGAGGTGGTCTTTGACTCCCCTCAGAGTTTAATTTTGTCAATTAAGCACTTCATTTAAGGGATTTCATTTTCTTTTACGATTTCACTAAACAAAAACAGCAAACATCTATAAAAAATGAAATAGAAACTAACAATAAAAGCAATGATTGGGGGCTGGGAAGATGGCTCAGTGGTAGAGCGCTTGCCTTTCATGCCTGAGGCCCTGGGTTCGATTCCTCAGCACCACATAAGCAAAAAGAAAAAAGCTGGGAGTGGCGCTGTGGCTCAAGTGGTAGAGTGCTATCCTTGAGCTGAAGAACTGAGGGACAGCATCCAGGCCCAGAGTTCAGGTCCCATGACCAGACCCCCCCCCCAAAAAAAAAGCAATGATTGGGCTAGAGGCATGGTTCAAATAGTAAGAGTTCTTAACCTGACTTTGAAACCCTAGGACTGTCAAAAATATAGATAGAGGGGCTGGGAAGTTGGCTCAGTGGTAGAGCGCTTGCCTTGCATGCGTGAGGCCCTGGGTTTGATTCCTCAGCACCACATAAGCAAAAAGAAAAAAAGCCGGAAGCGGCGCTGTGGCTCCAGTGGTAGAGTGCTAGCCTGGAGCTGAAGAGCTGAGGGACAGCGCCCAGGCCCAGAGTTCAGGCCCCATGACCGGACCCCCCAAAAAAAAATAGATAGATAAGATCATTTTTGTGTTTATTTTGCAGTACTGCAGATTTAACTCAGGGCAGTAATTGCTAGGCAAGTATTCTACCACTTGAGCTATGCTCCTAGTCCTCTCATAATTGTCTTTTCTCATTTTCAAACAAGTTTATTTTTTTGTTGAGTTGCAAGTTTTTTTAATATACTCTAGATTTAAGATCTATGTATCCAGTACATAATATGCAAGAATTTTGTATGAGCTCCCTTTTTGTTGTTGTTGTTGTTGTTGATAGTGTCCTCTGAAACACAAAAGTTCTTAAATTGGATGAAATTGAACCTTCTTGTTTTTTTCCTCTTCTGTTGCTTGTACTTTTGATGTTAGAGTCCAAGGAGCCATCCAAACCTGTCACACAGATGCAGTCCTGTGTTTTCTGCTTACGGTTGCAATCCTTTCTACTCAGGAGGCTGAAATCTGAGGATCACAATTTGAAGTCAGCCTAGGCAGCAAAGTCAGTGACACTCTTATTCTAGTTAACCTCCAAAAAGCTAGCCACAAGTGGAACTCAAGCATGGTAAAGCACTAGCTTTTAGCACAGAAGTTCAGGAATAGTGCCCAAGCACTGAGTTCAAGCCTCAGGACTGACACACCAAGTTTTATAGTTTTTTTCTCTTAGATTTAGGTCTTTGATGAATTAATTTTTGCATATAATGTGAGATAAAGTGGGATTTCTTTTTTCTTATTCCCAATACTGTGTATTAAAGCTAGAGTCTTGCACATGATAACCAAGTGTTCTACCACTGAGCTATAATCCCAACATGAGTTCTTTCTAATATCTTTTCTATGCCACCTAAAATTCTTTACACAATCAAGAAACTAATTAACAATATAGAAGATGCTATGTTTTCAGAAGTCATGAAGAATTCTCAAGCAGCTTTTTATTTAAACAGAAAAAGGGAAAGTACATTTAGAGAAAAGTATGAATTGTGAATACTTGTCAATAACTGCCTGAAGGCTTGTACAAATAAATTCTAGTAAGAGAAGGGCCATACTACTTTAAATTGATCTATGAAGGCTTTCCCAAGTAGTTAGAATTTAAGCTAGAGTTTTTAAAAAGGGTAAGGTTTGGCTGGACACCAGTGGCTCATACCTGTAATCATAGCTACTCAAGAGGCTGAAATTTGAGGATTGTGGTTTAAAGCCAGTCAGGGCAGGAAAGGCTGTAAAATTCTTATCTCCAATAAACCACCAGAAAACTGAAAGTGGCGCTGTGGTTCAAGTAGTAGAGTGCTAGCCTTGAGCTGAAGAGCTCAGGGACAGCACTCAGGCCCAGGTTTGTCCAAGATGAACAGAGGAAGAATGAGCATCAGGTGGCAGTGGCTCATGCCTGATCCCAGCTACACAGGAATCTGAGATCTGAGGATTGCAGTTTAAAGCCAGCCTAGCCTGGGCAGAAAAATCCATGAGACTTATCTTCAATTAGCCAGCTAAAAACTGGAAAGTGAGGTGTGGCGCAAGTGGTAAAGTGTCAGCCTTGAGCAAAAAAGCCAAAGGAGTGCAAGGTCCAGAGTTCAAACCCTAGTACTATCACAAAAAATAAAAAAGAAGCCTATGTGTCATCCAAATCATTGATAAGGATTGGTTTGCTAAGGTGAAATGACAGTGAGATTGGTTCTGTTGTTCATTAAGCAGACACTGCCCATCAGTACTGGGATTGCAACAGTAAATGAAACACCTTCCTCAGAGAGCATCAGGTAGAGCTGTGGGGAAAAGGCAGGGAGAGTAGAGTGAGGGAAAACTGGAAGGGACAGGTTTGTAGTCTTACAGAGGAGAGGGGACAGGGAAGTCCTCACAGAATATGAATGCTGGGCAACAAAACCTAAAAGGTAGTATTAAAAACTAGGTATATTGACTTGTTAATAAGTTTATTTGACAATTCAACAATTTGTGAATTGGGTAGACTGAAAGTTCTGAAGAAGTAAGTTTTGTAAGGTGTTTTGTGTGTCTGCACTCAAGTGCATGTAAGCACTGATTCTGGGGCTTGAACTCAGAGCCTGGACACTGTCCCTTAGCTTTCTCACTTAAAGCTAGGGCTCTACCACTTGAGCCACTGCTCCACATCTGAATTTTTGGTGATTAACTGGAGATAAGAGTCTCACACAGGAGCTGGGAAGGTGGCTCAGTGGTAGAGTGCTTGCCTTGCAAGCCTGAGGCCCTGGGTTCGATTCCTCAGTACCATATAAGCAAAAAGAAAAAAGCCGGAAGTGGTGCTGTGGCTCAAGTGGTAGAGTGCTAGCCTTGGAGCTGAAGAGCTGAGGGACAGCGCCCAGGCCCAGAGTTCAGGCCCCACGACCGGACCCCCCCCCTCCCCCCCCCAAAAAAAGTGTCACACACCTTCCTGCCAGGGCTGGCTTAGAACTTCAATCTTCAGATCTCAGCCTCCTGAGTAGCTAGGATTATAGGCAGGAGCTTTTAAAGGTATTTTTTGAAGTAATTCAAAGTAGATGTTTGATTGGTTAAAGTAGAAAATTTCTAGTTAGACGTTGCAGGTTCATTTTGTGGTTTCTGATTGGTTGAGCTTAAGTTTCAGTCTCTAAGCCATTAACTCTGATTTATATTCTGGTTTGCTGATATCAAGACCCAAGGCACTGAAACGGCCTCCTTTATTTATTTATTTACTTACTTATAGTTGTGGGGCTTGAACTTAGCCTGGGTTCTGTGCCTGAGCTCTTTAGCTCAAGGCTAGTGCTCTACCACTTGAGCCACAGTGCTACTTCTGGTTTTCCGGTGGTTAATTGGCAATAAGAGTCTCACAGACTTTCCTGACCAGGCTGGTTTTGAACCACAATCCTCAGATCTCAGCTTCATGAGTAGCTAGGATTACAGGCATGAGCCACCAGAACCTGGCTATTTACTTACTTTTTGTCAATGGTGGGTATTGAACTCATGGCTTAGGCACTGTCCTTGAGGTTTTTCACTCAAGTATTCTACCACTTTGAGCCATAGTGCCACTTCTACTTTTCTGGGGGTTAATTGGAGGTAAGAGTGTCATGGACTTCCCTGCCTGGGCTGGCTTTGAACTGTGATCCTCAGATCTCAGCCTCCTGAGTAGTTAGGATTACAGGCATGAGCTGCCAGCACCTGGCTGCCTTCGTATGTATGTATGTATGTATGCATGTATGTATTTATGTGTTTATTGTTGCTTGTGGAGCTTGAACTCTGGGGCCTGGGTGCTGTCCCTAAGCTCTTCAGCTCAAGATGAACACTCTACTACTTGAGTCACAGCGCCACTTCCAGTTTTCTGGTGGTTAATTGGAGATAAGACTTTCCTGCCTGGGCTGGCTTTGAACTCCTCAGATCTCAGCCTCCTGAGTAGCTAGGATTACAGGCATGAGCCACCAGTGCCTAGTTTTCCTTTTTTTTTTTTTTTGTGGGTTATGGGGCCTGAACTCTGGGCCTGGGCACTGTCCCTCATCTCTTCAGCTCAAGGCTAGTGCTGTACCACTTGGAGCCCCAGCACCACTTCTGGATTTTTCTGCTTATGTAGTGCTGAGGAATCGAACCCAGGGCCCCATGTATGCAAGACAAGCACTCTACTACTGAGTTACCTTCCCAGCCCTCCTAATGTATTTTTAAGAAGAGCTATACACAGGGTTGTGTGTTCAGTATGTAGGACTCCATAGCACAGGGGTATGCATTCAGGACTCTGCTCAATTTTGAGGACAGGCCATATGAGTTTTCCATTTTCTTTTGCTTAACTTTCCCTTACCAAATCTGAGTAGGTCTTGGGAAAGTAAAGCTGCACAGGGCAGATCCCATCTGCTTTCTTGTAGGCTCCTACCAGCATCAGAGAGAGGATTCTTCCTCCTCTCAGGAAGAGAGCACATCCTCCACGCCCTCTACATCCTCCACATCCTCCACATCCTCATCCCAGGAGGAGAGCCTGCAGCTGAGCAGTGTCCCGCCCACACCCACCCTCACTTCCACGGTGCTGAGAAACAGGCAGCCACTGGTGACAGTGGGCAAGAAGGAAGAAGAAGATGGCTCAAGACTGGAGTTTGTCTGCCGGTGAGGCTGAAAGGGGACCAGCTAGTCCCCAGTTTGTTGTTGTGATTTAGGATTGGTTTAGTATTTGTTTGTTCCCACTGCAGCATACTGTGGACCCTGGGTGATCTTACATTTTTCCCTTTTATAGCTTCAAAATGTCTCTCTTGCACTCTTTCTTTTTGTTGTTGTTATAAACATGGAGTACAGTTTACAGTTTCACACATACTCTGGTTTTTAACACTAGCCATCTTACCTCTTTTACCCTTTATTTATTTTTTGCCAGTGCCAGTAAGCACTAAGTAAACTTGACTGCTCACTGCTGGCTGGCTGCCACTTGAGCCATACCTCAAGCCTGGCCTTTTGTTGGTTATTTTGAAGATGACGGTCTTGCCCAGATTGGTTTCAGACTTCCAGGTCTTATTAGCCTCCTGAGTAGCTAGGATTACAGGAGTGAGTTGTGTTACCTTTATTTTTCTCCTGTCACTGATCCTGTTTCATTCTCAACAGCCTGCCCTTCTCAAGAACCCAGCAATCAAGGCACTCAGGTGCACTGTATTTTGGAGTTCCACCAGCCCTTCCAAGTCCTGGTCAGGACAGCCCATTGACTCGGTGAGTTTCCCATTCTCTTGTGGCTACACTGCACATCAGTCACTTTGAGAGCTTCTCACCTAACTCAGAGCAGGAAACTGCCAGTGCTTTTTGGATTTGCCTTAGTCCTAGAACCCTTTCTTCCAGCACAGTCTAGAGCCAGCTCTACTGTGTAAAGAGAAGTACTCACTGGTGCAGGTTTGGGAACTTAGAGCCCAACTCTGCTTGGTTCTCATCCTTTCCTGAGTATCTCTGAGAAACTCTTAGGCCTAAAATAACCGTTTGAAATCCCCTACTTTTTGCCATTACTGGTAGTCTCCGCCTGATGGAAGAGGATGAGGAAGAACTAGGAATCCTGAATGAATCAAGTGAGGAGTGGCAAGATGCAGACAAGGTATGTGCCCTCAGCATTCTTCTCGTCCTTCAGACCCTGAGGCTGATAGGCTACAGGCATGTGGCAGTTCTTCTCTCAGAACACTGCTTAGGACAGCAGTGGAAAGAATCACAAAGGAGAAGAAAAGTGGGATGAGTTATTGCAGACTTGGCATGGACTCTGCTTTTACGAAAGAAATAGGAAAATAAGTTAAAAAATGGCAAAAACTTGGAATAGCACTCTACCTCCTAAGTCCCAAATAAGTATTATGTCTGAGCCTCTTAAAATTCAGTTCTTCCTACAGCCAGGAATTCAGGATCATCAGTTCACCCTTGCAACACTTCCTCTCCCACCCCCTGCCCTGCCCTGTTTCCCTGCTCTCTCCTAAGACTGCCGGCCCCTGTTCCCCCTGCCCTGGCTGTCTGTCCTTCCAGGAAAAGGTTCTCCTACTTGCTGCAGAAGGCAAAGCTTGGGGCTTGAGTGAGGTGACTGAAACATGAATCCTCAGTTCTATATCAATTTATCTACTCCTTCTTCTCAGCCTGTTTCTCATCTTGACACAAAGTCCAAGATGAAAGTACCTTATGTTATGGCAGCCTGAACTGCCATAACAGCACTACAGCCTAGTGGCTGATAAACAACATACATTGATTCTGTAGAGAGCAGGGTCAGCACAGCCAACTCAGGTGAGGGCAGCTGCCACTTCAGAGTGTCAGTGTTTCATGTCCTCCCATGTAGAAAACAGCAAGCTAGCTCTCTGGCCTCTTAGAAAGGCACTAATCCCTTTGACCTCACCACCTCCCAAAGGCCCTACCCTACCTCCTGCTGATTTTACCATTGTGTGGTTGGATTTCATTATACAGATCTGAACGAGCTCCATACACTGTCTGCAGCACAATATGTATCATCTGTGCTCCTCTCTGTTCTGCTCTGGGGAGAGGGAAGGAGAGGATGGGAGAAGGTGGGATACAGCAGGGGGAGGATGGCCTTGTGCTCAGGAAGATCCAAACAATGCCATTGTCACAGCAGAGACCAGGAAGCAAAACCTCTTTGATCTGTCCTAAGGAGATTCCCATCCTCTGGCTCCAAAAGCTGAATGAATTTTAAGGGACTCAGCAGGCCAAGAGAGAGGGGACTGTGGGGGGGACCCTGGGACTTGTTCTTTGGAACTCAACTGGAACCATGTTTCCATTGGCAATGACAGGGGTTCAGAGACTACTATAATTTTTGACCCATTTGTTCTAGGAGCCTGGAAGCCCCTCCTCCCTCAGCGAGCATGGTCTGGACCTCCTAGACACCACAGAGCTCAGCATTGAGGTGAATCCCAGACCTGGCTGTGTTCTCTCAAATGCCAGCATGCCACTGCAGTGTCAAGTAAAGAAAAGAAAGGTTCTTGGGCATCTCCGTGGCTGCTCCGGAGCTTTGGGGGTTAGGGGAGGAGACAGACTCACCAGCTCAGGGTGCATGGTGCTTCTGCTGGCCCCTGGGCCTGTAGCTGTGACTGCATCTTCCTTCCATCCTCCTTACAGGATTTCTGACATGTTCTTCCCCTCCCCTCTCTCCATTCCCCACTCAAGGACATAAGCACTTGGAAAAGATGAACAAGAAGAAGGAGCACAATGAAACATGGCTTCAGTCCCAGCCCTGAGAGGAAGGAGGGGCCGCCCTGCCTTTCTGGCCTCCCTTTCTCTCTTGGTGGCTGGTAGAAAAGCCATGAGCACCTGGCCTCCCCTCTGCCTGCTTTCTGCTGTTTGGAGTGGGGTGGGAGCTTCAACACTGCCTCTCTGAATTTGTTAATAAAGTCCTGGGTAATTGTTCATTTGTGATTTCTTCCCAGATTCCTATAAGCCATAGTGGAGAGCTTAATAAATGTTCCAGCCAGCTGGCTCCTTGATGTGGCTTGAGCTTGGCACACTGTTACTGGTTGGAGTCTTTGGCACCATAGCCCTGTAGTCAGGTGGCCCATACCACCGGGCCTTTGTGGGCTCTCCAGGATGGATGGCTCAGCCAGGGAGAGGTAGGTGGTGCAGAAGTTAGAAGAGACTGGCTAATCTCCAAGCAGTTGAGCTGGTGGGAAGGGGTGCTGATAGGTAGGGTGGAGCCTTGTGAAACTCCCATCATACCCTCTGAGACTGGACGTTGGCGGTCATCAACCAGGAGCTCTTAATAGGGTAATTTCACCCCCTCATCAAAAACATGCTATGGTTTATAATTTTATATCATAATAGCTAACAGGAAACAGAAGGTACTGTACATGTCCAGCCTTGCCAATCCAAGTCTACCTTCATCCTTCCTTCACAAGTGATCCACAAGTCCAGCCATGTTCTCCAGAGCTTATCTCTGCTGTGCTGATCATCTCACCAGCACTGCTACAAAATGGCCTTGGGGGAGCTTCTTCCTGCCTCCTGCCAATGACTTGCTGGTTCTTGTTCAGCCTTTGCAGCAGCACAGTACCTCAACTCTTTCCTCCTGACAATCAGTCACAGAGATGAAGACACTTGGGTTTCTTTCTGCTTTTGCTACTGTTCTATGGTTTAAGGAACCCTTCATTATCCTGGTAGATAATGACTTCCAGTTCTTCCCTGTCCTGGATACCTCTAACTCCAGGTTCATGCCTGGGACCCTCCAGGCAGAACACAGCCAGCCAGTGCTGTGCAGGCACAACCACTACTTCTGGTGACCAGACTACTTCACCAAAACCATTTAGACCACTTCCCCCAGCTTGTTGCTCACTTCCCTCTTTCTCACCCTCAGATAAGAGCAGGAAGGGGTTGGAAAGGTGGCCTGGTAGTGCCCTGGTGGGAGGCTCACCCACCTAAAATCCTAGGCCTGTGTATGGGTTGGGCAGCTCCAGAGAAAGGAGTCTTAATGCAATCTAGAAATGGAAAATTAAAGGCTACTGGGAATCCAGGAGAATGGTGTCTTGATACACTTAAAGGGCTTTGCAGAGCTCAAGAAACTGAGCGTTTGTAGATACAGATAAATCTTCATGTATTTTGGATCAGAAAGTCCAATGTGGTAGATTGACCCAGCCTCAGAATCTGTGGGAGTTTGTTACCATACTCCCTGAACTTTAACGCATCATTATGTGTCAGTGTCCTCTCTCCTTGGGTATGAGCTCTATGACTGCTTCAACATAGATTGTGGTAGAAATGATGTCATGCAAGCTTGTGGATTCAGATGATAAACAGAGTTTCTGCCTCCTCTTGCTTTAGATGATTAATCATTCGATCTTAGGACCTACCCTTTATGCCATGCTAACTCCCTACCTAGCAAGGCCCAGTGTACATAGATATACAAACCAAGAGCTGTTGGTGAGGTTCCTGCCACGAATCAGTGTCAGCCACCATTGTGCTCCAGAAGGGAATGAATGGGTTGTACCCCTAGCCTTTATCCCCAGATAAGGCCCAAACATCTCTGTTTGGGCATCTACAAGATTGATGAGATAGTCTAAAGCTGATCTGCTGTGTTGTCATGGTAGCAAGCAGGCTGAAATGCAAAGACTCCAAAGTTTCGGGTCTTCATCAAAAAGTTGTGCTTATGTAAGCACTGAGTTTTTTCTTTTTTTTTTTTTTGGGTCCGGTCGTGGGGCCTGAACTCTGGGCCTAGGCACTGTCCCTCAGCTCTTCAGCTCAAGGCTAGCTCTCTACCACTTGAGCCACAGCACTACTTCCGGCTTTTTTCTTTTTGCTTATGTGGTGCTGAGGAATCGAACCCAGGGCCTCAGGCATGCAAGGCAAGCGCTCTACCACTGAGCCACCTTCCCAGCCCCCAAGCACTGAGTTTTGTATAACTCATTTCAAATGCAAATGGGTAAGTTAATGAAGTAAATACATTTTAATATATATTTAATATACTATTTAATATAAATTCAATATAAGTATATAAATATAATAAATATAAATTTAATGTAAATGTAAATTTAATAAAATATATTTAAAATATATTTTACTAACCAGGCACCCATGGCTCACGCCTATAATTCTAGCTACTCAGGAGACTGAGAGCTGAGGATCGTGGTTCAAAGCCCTGGAAAGAAGAATCTCTGCGAGACTATCTCCAATTAACTTTTCAAAAAAAAAACAGATGTGAACTGGGATGTGGCTTAGTGGTAGAGTGCTTGCCTAGCATGCATGAAGCCCTGGGTTCAATTCCTCAGTACCACATAAACAGAAAAAGCTGAAAGTGGCACTATGGTTCAAGTAGTAGAGTACTAGCCTTGAGCAAAAGAAGCTCAGGGACAGCCCCCAGGCCCTGAGTTCAAGCCCCAGGACTGACAAAAAAACCCCAAAACAGTAGTTGTGCTGTGGCTCATAGAGAGCAAGCCTTGAGTACAAAGAGCTCAGAGACAGTCCCAGACCCAGAGTTCAAGCCCCACAACTGACAAAACACACACACACACACACATGCATGCACGCATACACATACACACCTATATAGCTTGTATTGGGGCTTGAACTCAGATCCCTTGGCTTTTTCACTCAAGGCTGCTGGTGCTCTATCACTTGAGCCACATTTCTACTTCTGGCTTTTTGATAGGTAATTGGAGATAAGAGTCTCATAGGGGCTGGGAATGTGGCTTAGTGATAGAGTGCTTGCCTAGCATGCATGAAGCCCTGGGTTTGATTACTCAGTACCACATAAGCAGAAAAGGCCAGAAGTGGCCTTTACTCAAGTGGTAGAGTGCTAGCCTTGAGCAAAAAGCAGCTCAGGAACAGTGCCCAGGCCCTGGGTTCAAGCCTGAGAACTGGCAAAAAAAAAAGTCTCATAGACTTTCCTGCCAGGGCTATCTTTGGACCATGATCTTCATATCACAGCCTCCCGAATAGCTAGGTTTACAGGCATGAGCCACTAGTGTCCAGCCTTCATCATTATTTTTAAGCCATTTTAAATAAACCCAGAGCTTTCTACTAGGTGAATGCTCTGCCACTGAACTACCCATTTTATGACAGGGTCTTGCTAGATTGCTCAGGCTAGCCAGGACTTGATACTCCACGCCCCCCCATCCTTCTTGCCCCCCTCCTGAATGCTGGAATTACAGGCATATGGCACTGGGCCTAGCAAGTCTTATCTTTTTTCTTTTTAATCCATTGTATGGCCATGAGCTCTGCCAGAGGTGAATTGTAGAATTACAAAGTGTAGAGATTTTTCTTCTAGGTTGCTAAGAACATTCATTGAATCATTCCTTTGAACCCTGGGATCCATAGCCCAGAGATGACAAGGTTACAGGACGGGAGAAGAGTCTGTGCCTTGCTTGATGTGACAGGACACAGTGATGGGAGAGGAGGCCTCTCTCCATAGAGTTCTGCAGTATCCTTGGCCTCTCCCCATCCTGCCTGGGTGTAGGATGGAATGCCTCGAGGCATGCTACTAGCACAGACCCCTGAGAACCCTGGCTGTGGGCTAAATGGGGATTGCTTGGAGAAGCAGCACTGAAGTGCATGAGTCAGAGGCAGAGAAATAACGAGTAGGAAACTGGCCAAGACCAACCGAGGGAAACTCGAGAAGACCCTGGCTTCCTGCCAGGAGGCCCAGAATGCAGAGAAAATAAGGAGGGTATATTTGACTTGTTTCAATGGGTGAGAGCCGGTAACAGACTACACCTTGTGGACAGCAGCAGACCGGAGCTGGGGGTCATTCTTGTAGCCTCTTGGAGGCCACAGAAGGAGGAGGTCTGACCAAGGATTAGTTAAGAAGTGCAGCTCGAGCCCCAGGAGCAGCACGAAGACAAACATATGTACAAGTAAAGTAAATGCAGCAGTCACTGAGTCTCAACTCATTTTCCTTTCTGGAAAATTGGTGGGTGGAAAATTTAATTCCTGAGTCTTCTAGCCTCCTTCCTTTTCCCTAAGGTTGTGCCAAGGCCTGGGGTAGGGGCGGGGGGAGAGGCACCTCTGGGTCTCTGCCCACAGAGCATGAGCCTTCCGTGTCCCTGAGACAGATGTGTCTGCAGGAATGTGCCAGCCTGGGCCGAGCACCTATGCACCCTGCCCACTACCACACAAGGTGAGGACTCCAGCCTGGGAGAGGCGCTCCCCTGCCTTCCCTCATGTTGCCCACATGGCTTCTCTGAGTTTTCTTAAGTTCCTTATAAATTCTCTCATTCTGAAAAGCCAGAGAGCCTGGCCAAAAGCATCTCCTTCACCATCTCATTCTGGTTCCACTGAAGTCACATGGCTTCCTCAGCTCTGCTTGAAAGCCAGAGGAGGAAAGAGAAATACTGTGTGTTTGAAGGTGGGAGACACAATTGGGATTTTGAAATTATTATTATTTTATTTGTGGTGCCAGTCCTGGGGCTTGAACTCAGGCAGGGCCAGAATGGTGTCCCTGAGCTCTTTTGCTCAAGGCTAGCACTCTACCACTTGAGCCCACAGCTCCACTTCTGGCTTTTTGGGAGGTTAATTGGAGAAAAGAGTCTCACAGACTTTCCTGCCCAGCATTGAACCACAATCCTCCGATCTCAGCCTCTTAAGTAGCTAGGATTACAGGCATGAGCCACCAGTGCCCAGATTGTAGTATTTATATATAGAGAGAGCAACAGCCTTGAGTGGTAAAGCCTCAGGGTCAGTGCCCAGGCCCCAAAATCAAGCTCCAGGACCAGCATACAAAAATTATATATATATATATATATATATATGTATATATGCACAAAATGGATTTTCATACCCACTTTATTTCTCTGGAGAGACTGGATCCTCCAAGAGCCTGTGTTTGTGCTCATCGCAGTCAGCTTCCTGGACATCAGTCTGCATTAGGCCCAGCTGGTACTGCCCAGGACTGAGCTGGTTCCTTCCCAAAGGAGGCTGGGGACATCAGTCAGGACTTCTGATGGACATAGGGCTGGCACTGCTTCCAGAAAAGCCACAAGAACAGCATCTAGCTGGGCATGGTGGCACACACTGTATCCCCAGCTACTCAGGAGGCTGAGGTAGGATGATTGTAGTCTGAGGCTGAAAAATTAACGTAGACAACAACTATGGTTGTGTCTCAAGTGGTAAATTGCCTACCTAGCAAACACCAAGTGCTGCATTCAAACCCAAGTACCAAGTAATAGAAGATGACTATGATGAAAGTATATTATATCCGTGTATGAAAATGACACATTATGTCCCATTGTAGAACTACTTTAATTGTCAGACTTCCTCCAGGGCTTGGAGTTACCTGTGAAGTCTCTGGCCTCTCAGCATGGCTGTTGGTGACCTTCCTCCTGTGACCTGAGTTCCCCTCAGGCTGCTCCTTAGTGGTGCCAGGTGTTACACAGTAGGTGGGAGATGGATTCTTCCAGACAGGGAGGTTGAAGCTGGCAGCCAGGCCACACAAGGCCTGACCACGCCTCTTCCACTGATCCTCCTGGGCCTTGAGCCCTGGACAGGCATGTGGGAGTTGTCCTCTCCAGGACCCCTTCTGTGGCATCGTCGTGCACCATTTCATTCTTAGGTCGGCATGTGTGGCCACAGGAACGAGTGTAGTGGACCAACCAAAGCCTGTGCAAGGTGGTTTCTGTTCCACACGCAGCCTCAACACCCAGGTGTCTAGGAGGACAGCAGTGGAGGCCAGAGCCAGGGTAGATCCAGAGGAGAGGGGCACAGCATGGGGGTGGTGGTGGGGGTGGTGGTGGTGAAGTCTTGGTGTGGCAGGACAGGGAAGGAGGGATGGAGGGATTGGGATGCCTCTGCCTTTGGGTACCTAAGAAGGACAAAGGGCCTGAGGGTCTGAAGACTGCAAACCAGAAGACTCCCCGCTGTTGAGCCACTCTGCGTAGGCTGACTTGCTTAGGCCTGGCCAGAACTAGGCATTTTTAGGCCCTCATGGAACAGAGGAGTGGCACTCAGGGGTCCCAGAGTCTAAGAGAGATGGGAGAGGCTCTCAGGGGAAGGAAGGCCTCCAGGTGTGAGCAGCAGTGCAGTGGACACTGTGTCCCCATGGTGGTAGTGGCTGGAAGCTGAACCTCAACTATCTGTCACCTCTACCCCATGGAGAGAACCCCACCTGAGTCTGCGGGACCCCACCCCTGACCATGGCAGTGCCTGCCTGGAACCCAGGGGCCAAGGTGGTCAGCAGTGTATAAAACACAGGCCCCTGAGGCTCAACCATTGCCATGTGCGCTGTTCCCAGGGACTCAGCCCTTGACTGCATTGAAAGAAAACAAAAGAACACAGCTCAGCCTTGAGCAGGTGATCTGGATCCGAGGGAGGGAGGACACAGATGTCCTCAAAATATGGACCATGAATCCCACCTGAGCCTCCAAATCTGCCTCTCCCCAGGACCATGCGAGCACCAGGACCCCAGGTGCCTCCCAGACCCAGATAAATCACCTCCCCACACTGCTGCTGGTGGGATTGCACACCACAGGAGACAGCGTGGACCTGTCCCATGAGCATGGAGTACGGGCCACACCTGGCCCCTCAGGCTCATCCATCAGCAGTCAGGTGGATGACTTGCACAAGGCTAGAATGTAACTCTGAGGGTGGCTCCCAGGCTGCCAGGCCCTGCAACCTGTCTGGTGACTACCTTCTCATCAGGGACTAATTCAGCCCAAAAGCCCAGTGCCTCCGTTTCCCCAGTGGAGGTATCAACATGTTCCATCCAAAAATGCCTGGAAACTGAGAACAAAGGAATGGGGGTTTGGAGACCAGCAAGGCTACAGGGGTCTCCAGAACATCTCACTTGTGGGAAGGAAGAAAAGAAAGCACATAGGGAGAGAAAGCAGAAATAGCTTGGCAAGCTTGGGGATCAGCACAGAAGAGAGAGCAAGGATTAAGGGGAAGTTGAGGAAAAAGGGAAGTTACCCTCTGCACACAGTGATGGCCGCATGATACTTTCTCACACATAATCCCATCTTCCCTGTCCCCTCATTAAGCTGACACCAGGCTCCTCCTGGGCACAGGTGGGCACAGACTCCCACAGAGCCAGCCTGTGAATCACCAAACCTCCACCCAACGCCTCTCATTTGTGTCAGAGTGTGCCATGGACTAGGAAATGTGTGACTCATTGCTGCTCTGAGTCTTCTTTGCCCCCAACCCAAGCTAGGTCCTAGGGATGACCTGGGGTCCCCACTACTGGAGTTTCAGTATTCTAACGTTGGCAGCCAGAAACTGTGCCATGCAGCCAGGCCAGAGCCGCAGCTCAGCAGAAGTCTAAAGTAGATCCCAAAGTCCAGAACCAGACCCACCCTGTGACACATGGCCTGGCAGGAGGGCACAAAGGTACCCGCAGGGCAATGTGACACCCAGAGTCACTGAGTGAGTCATCTCTGCACCTGAGGAAGGTGGCAGCCAGTTGCAAGAGAGGTGGCCTGGACACATGAAAACTGCAGGATCCTGATCCAGCCTGGAGGGGAAGACAAGGAAAAAACACACACCAGTGCGCCTTGGTATTCCAGTGATCCCAGGACCATCATCTTCCTCGCCCTTTCTAAGACCTGACTCTGGGAGCAAAGCTGAGCAAAGACTCATGCCCACCTTCCTCTCTCTGAAGGAGCCAGCCCTGGCCCGGGGCAGCCCCTTCCCCTGGGAGGAGAGACTGGGGGACAAGAGTCAAGGACAGAGACACCCAGAGATGGGAGGAAGGGAAATTGGGAGAGGAAGGGGGAGGAGAAGGATGAGAAGGGGAAGTGGAGACTGCACAGGCCATGGCGAAGGATCAGACAAGGCAGGTAGTTAAGATGGAACAGGTGAGGCCAAGGGCAAGGTGAGTCTCTCAGCACCAAATGGGAGGTGGAGGCTGGAGGACTGCACAAGGGAGGCCCTTCTGCAATTTAAGAAAAGGAGAAGCCACATGGTGAAGGAAGTTGTGGGCCACAAGGAGGTGGAGATGGGAAAGTGAACATCCTCCCTCAGCCCTGGGGAGAAGCAGTCTGATCCAGAATCTCCACGGGACACTCACCCCACTTGTGCAAGCCCCCAGGGCTCTGTCAAGGCCTCCTCTCGGGCTGTGGCACTCAGCAGGCCTCCTCCCCCAGAGGAGACCAGCTATGGGGTGGGTCCTGGTGGCACTGCTGCTACTGCCTGCAGGAGTCCTGACAGCTGGTGAGTGGCCACAACCATCAAGCCACAGGGAGCCTGGGGGCTGGGCATGTGCAGAGGGCTGTGTGGGAGGAGGTGGCCAGGACCAACCCTTCACCCACTTTCCTCTCCCAAGCCTGGAGAGGGTCAGCCCTGCCATCTGTCCCACCAGACCCTGGGAATGCAGGTGCAGGAGCATCTGGGGTTCGTCTCTGCCTCCCCTCTGGCAGGGACTGGCTTCACATTCCTTCCCCTTCCTCACAGACGGAAACTTTGGGATGCTGCAGCCAGGACACCTCTCTGCCATTGTGGGAGGCTCCATCGAAATCCCTTTCAGCTTCTTCCATCCCTGGGAGTTGGCCCAGGATCCTGAGGTGAAGGTGTTTTGGAGATGGAAGAGCTTCCACAGGGAGTTCATCTACAACATGACCCCACCTTTCATCCATAAGCATTTCAAGGACCGGCTGGTCCTGAACTTCACAAAGAATGGGAACTCGGGCTCCCTGTCCATTTTGAACCTTCGGAAGGAGGACGAGACCATGTACTTCTGCCGCGTCCATCTGAAGACAAAGAAAAAGGGTGAGCAGCAGTGGCAGTCCATCAAAGGGACCCAACTCACCATCACTGAAGGTGAACCCCCTCCCCAGCTCCACATCCCCTCAGTCCTCACACTTCAAATCTTCTCACTTTCTTCTCCCTGACCTCTGACCTCTTCTCAGGGCCCTGCCAATATCATTCTTTGATTCTTCTTGACAATAACATCCCCAAACCAGCACTGCTTCCCCTCCCCTTTGCCTCTCAAAGAAAAAAGCATTAACTAGTGTGAATTTAGGCTACTTCTTTAGTGATATTACAGTTTTTTCTAAAAAAGAAAATAAATCATTATTGCCCTAGGATTTACACACACACACACACACACACATTGGGGGGGGGTGTCCTGGGGCTTGAACTCAGGGCCTGGGCGCTGTCCCTGAGCCTCTCTGTGCTCAAGGCTAGCACTACCACTTGAGCCACAGTGCCACTTCCAGCCTTTCCTGTGTATGTGGTACTGAGGAATCAAACTCAGGGCTTCATGCATGCTAGGCAATCACTCTGCCACTAGGCCACATTCCCAGCCAATCAATTTTTATTTTCTAAACAGAATGTTGTTATGAATTTTATCTTTAACTAATTTAAAAATCTTCTAGATCTCCAAATGCAGTCACGGTACTCGGCAGACACAATGTGCAAAATGAACTATACAACTTGTGAGAGGGCACAGGAAACAGGGAAAGTGAGGGAAGGGGTGACACTGTCCAAAAGGAACTGCTCTCAGAACTGCCTTATGAAATGGCAGCCCCTTAATAGAACCTTAATCATAACAATAAAATTATATTAAAAACATTTTAGTTCTCAATTGAGAGATTTATGCTGTTATTATTTTCTTCTTTTATAGTGTTTCATTTTCTTCCTAATTAATTTTTAAGTATGAATATTTATGGGTACAGAATAGTAGTTTTGATACAGGTAATTCTTTATGAATATCATTTTCTTTTTCCTTTTTGTGCTAGTCTTATGGCTTAAATTCAGGGCGTATGCCTTAGCCTTTTTGCTCAAGGTTGGTGTTCTACCAACTAGAACTAGAGCCACAACCCCACTTTTGGCTTTTTGCTGGTTAACTGAAAATAAGAGCCTCAGAGTTTCCTTCCCGGGTTGCCTCCAAACTATGATCCTCAGATCTAAACCTCCTAGGGAGCTAGGATGACAGGCATGAGCCACCAGCATTCAGTTTTTTAAATAATTAATTCCTCATAAGCATGGACAAAAGGAATAGTTTAATGGGTACACATAGTTTCTTTCCATTTAGGATAATGAGAAAATTCTAGAATTTGGCAGAGAGTAATGGCTGTACAGTAACATGAATGTACTCGGTTCCACTGAAATTCACCCTTGCAGATGATTAAATGGTATATTTTATGTTTCATAGATTTTATGGCAAAAATGATGCTCTATTACTGTGATTTATTTCTGAGTAGTGAAGTGACTTCTTATTCACTATTGAAAAATGGTACATAGCTGGGCGCTGGTGGCTCCTGCCTGTAATCTGAGCTACTCAGTAGGCTGAGATCTGAGGTTCAAAGCCAGCCCGGGCAGGAAAGTCCCTGAGACTTTTTTTTTTTGTTTTGGATCTGGTCATGGGGCCTAAACTCTGGGCCTGGGCGCTGTCCCTCAGCTCTTCAGCTCAAGGCTAGAGCTCTACTACTTGAGCCACAGCCACACTTCCGGCTTTTTTCTTTTTGCTTATGTGGTGCTGAGGAATTGAACCCAGGGCCTCATGCATGCAAGGCAAGTGCTCTACCACTGAGCCACCTTTCCCAGCCCTCCCTGAGACTTTCATCTCCAATAAACCACTAGAAAACCAGAAGTGGCACTGTGGCTCAAGTGGTAGAGCAATCACCTTGAGCTGAAGGGCACAAGGACAGTGCTCAGGCCCAGAGTTCAAGCTCCATGATGGACAAAAAAAAAAAAAAGAAAGAAAAGAAAAAAAAAAAGAAAGAAAAAAAGAAAAGTAGTACAGAGTCAGGATTTAAACTTGGTTGTTTGGAATCCTTTTGTGTTTGTTTGTTTGGAGGTACTGGAGTTTGAATTCAGGGCCTGGCACTTGCTAGGCAGCTGCTCTAACACTTGCATCCCTCTACCCAGCCCTGCTCATCTGGAGTCTAAGCCTCCCTCTCTTCCTCTCTGAGTGGATCTCTGAGAACTGCTCCCCTCTCCATATTCCTCTGAACAAGATGAGATCTGACCTGTCACTCACAAATTCCCACTCTTTCAGGAGAATCTTCTGACTTCTGATCTTTCCCCAGCCATCAAGACCACCACCCAGATGAAGACCACCACTGAGAGAAGCACCAGTGTAGCCTCTGAAGTTACCTCAGCTGGCTTCACAGTCTCAGAGTCTCAGCCCCTGAGTCTAGGAGCCATTGTTGGGGTGGCAGTGGCCACTGCTATGCTCATAACTGGGGTGCTAGTACTGGTGGCCTTTCTCAGGTGGAGAAGGAAAGGTAAGTGGCTCATGGCTGGCCTCTCATTGTGCTTCCAAATGAGTGTTTTTGAACCCCCTTGCATTACAAACAGTTAAGATGCTTACTCAAAATGCAGATACCTGTGCAAACCAGCAATAGCACACAATGGCATGGTTTGTCAGGTCTTCTCTCATGATTTAGTCCTGTCTCATCCTTTTGTTTCCTGGAGAAGAGTCAGCCCACACTGGGAAAGGTAAGAACAGAGCAGAAGGGACAGGAAATTGTCTCAGTTCAGAAACCAGTGCACACATTGCAGAGCCTGGCTTGAGCTGGGCAAATCAAAACCCAAGAACAGAGCCTGCTTTTCATGACCTTTGTGCTCAGAAGTGTTGGTGCTCATTGTTTATTGGGAAAGCTATGGTAGTGCCAAACAATGTCAGTAGAAAGAAAGGGAGCCAGAGAGGGGTGCTTAGCAGAAGATAAAACCTCTGAAGGTATAAAAAGAACAAGCCAGGCAAGAGCTGGGAGTAGGGGTGAAGAAACTTCCTGGCCATCAAAGAGAGAAAAACATTCACAGAACTGTCAGTTAGCTCCTGGCTGGTAGAGGAGAAGAGAGATGAGAGAAGAGGGTCTTGTAAATCAAAGCCAACAACATCAGATCCCAGAGGCACAGTGAGCAGGCACATGACCATCTCAGCTTCCTGCAGTGAGGACATCAGTGTGTGAGGGCAGCCAGGACGCAGCAGCGCAAAGGATGGAGGGAAACGGCTAGGGCCACGAAGTGTCCTTAGATGGTTTATAACAAAGGATCCATCCGAAGAGAAAAATCAAGATTGTCATTCCATCTATAATAGCAACAGTCAATAAAATAGAAACACTTAGGAAAAAACTAAACCAAGAAGGTGAAGGATTCATACACTAACACCAAAGCACAAGACAATATTGAAAGAAATTAAGGAAGACACAAAGAAATGGAAAGATTTCCTATTCTTGGAGGAGAAGAATAAGACAAGATGTATGTACTTTTCAAAACAGATTTAAAGCAACTACTATCAAAATCAAGATTGGAGTTTGGTCATGAGGCTTGAACACAGGACATAGGAGCGATCCCTGAGCTTTTTGCTCAATGACTTTTCATTTCAAAAATGAATAGCTCATCTTCTAAAATTCATAGCCAAGAGTGGAGGATTTGCACTGGCTGATTTCATAAAAATTTCCCAATGCTACAGTGAGCAAAACAGCACAAAGACAGACAAATGGATGGCTGGAACACACCACAGCCCTGAAGTAAATTGTCAAGTACACCCAAATAAATGGTTTTCAAGAAGGGTATAAACTGGGCGCTGGCAGATCATATCTGTAATTCTAGCTTCTCAGGAGGCTGCGAAGCAAAGGCCAACCCAGCAGGAAAGTTTGTGGAACTCTTATTTCCAACTGACCATCAGAAAGCCAAAAGTGAAACTGTAGCTCTCAGTGGTAGAGCACTAGCTTTGGGAAAAAGAATTCAGGGATGGCGCCTAGGCCCCGAATTCAAGTCCCAAGACTGACAGTAATACTAATAATACTAATAATAATAGTGCTGAGACACACCCACCCTGCCCTCCATAAGGAAAGAAGAGCAGTTGAGGTATGAGGAATGGCCCAAGGAAGCAGCAGAAGTCTGAACAGGATTCCAACCAGGAAACTCAGTCTGTGGGACCAGAAACAGCCAGTACAGAAGGAAACCCAAAGAAGATGTTTGGTGAGGGCAAGGAAAGAAGTGGGAAAAGTGCAGAGGAAGGAAAGTGAGAAAAGTGGGGTAAGGGTAAGAAAGGAGGTCAAAAAGGGGAGAAAGGTTCAGAGAGAGAGAGAGAGAGAGACAGACAGACAGACAGAGAGAGAGACAGACAGAGAGAGAGAGAAAGAGAGAGCGAGAAAGAGAGAGAGAATGGAAACAGGGATGGACGGACCCAGAAGGGCTTGTCTTAGGACAAGAGGACAAGTATGGCTGGCCTCAGCTTACTTCCATTTCCCTCAAGGTTAGGCTCAGCATGGGACACAGTTAAGAAGGAGACAGAGAATCACAGGGGAGTCATACTGACACCATGTTGCTTCTTCTACAGGCCAGACAACTACAGCCCAAGCCCCAGGAGGGTGAGTATTTGTCCTCCCAAAGAGGTGGGCGGGGTGAGTGAAGTTTGGGAGTGAGGTGGTTTGGGAGGTTTCTTTACAAGTTTCCCTAAGTAGGAAAATATCACAGTGAAACCTATTGTTTTATGCAATTAATATGCACAAATAAATGACAGATATTTTATCTAAGTACCTGTGGCTCCTGACCTGTAATCCTAACTACTCAGGAGGCTGAGATCTGAGGATCCTGGTTTGAAGAGAGCCAGGGGTTAGAAAATCCATGACACTGGTTCTACCAATTAACCACCAAAAAGCTGGAAGTTCAAATGGTAGAACAATTACCTTGAGAAAAAGAAAGGCTCAGGGACAGTGCCTGGGCCCTGAGTTCAAGCCACAGGTCTGGCACACACACAAACACAGACAGACAGATAGATACAGATACAGATACAGACACAGACACAGACACAGACACACACACACACACACACACACACACACACACACACGCCACATTTTATAGGTGAATATATTTATTTTGGCGAAATATTTATATTGATGTAATGTTTTTGGTGGCACTGCCTTTTTTTGCTTTAGTTACTTTTTAGATGGGATCTTAGGCTTTTGGTCTAGGGCTGGCCTCAAATCAAGATCCTCCTAGCTCTGTCTCCCACATAGCTAGGGTTATAGGCATGGAACACCACACACCTCTGGTTTGCTAAATTAAGTTCTTGTTAACTTTTGCCCAGGATAACCTTGAACTTGTCTCCTCCTGATCTCTGCCTCCCAGCCAACTAAAATTATAGGCATGTGCCACCATGGTTTGCTTACTTTCTTATCTAATTTATTTCTTAAACATATGGACATGCCGGGTGCTGATAGCTCATCCCTGTAATCCTAGCTACTCAGGAGGCTGTGATCTGAGGATCAAAATTCAAAGCCAGCCTGGGCAGGAAAATCAGTGAATTTTTACCTTCAATTAATCACCAAAAGAGAAAAGCTGGAAGCAGAGCTGGGGCTCAAGTGGTAGAACATTAGCCTCAGCTGAAAGAGATCAGGGACAGCGCCCGGCCCTGAGTTCAATCAAACCCAATACCTGAACAACAAAAAAGAAAACAAATATGCACTAGATAGATAGATAGATAGATAGATGGATAGATGTATATATAAAATGAACACATCAATCTAGATGCTTTGTATTTGGGAACTGACATGTTGAATTAAACTTTTATTTGACTACTTAAAGATAATGTAAAAGATAAAATAGGGCCAGGCGCCGGTGGCTCACGCCTGTAATCCTAGCTGCTCAGGAGGATGAGATCTGAGGATCAGGGTTCAAAGCCAGCCCAGGCAGACCAATTGAAGGATTTTCTTTTTCTTTTTCTTTTTTCTTTGACCCTGTAGGTCATGGAGCTTGAACTCAGGGCCTGAGTGCTATCCCTGAGCTCTTTTTGCTCCAGACTAGCACTCTATCACTTTGAGCCACAGAGCTACTTCTGTTTTTCTGGTGGTCAAGAGACTTATCTGTAGATAAGAGTCTCACAGACTTTCCTACCTGTGATGGCAGGATCTTAGCCTCTTAAGCAGCCAGGATTACAGGCATGAACCACCAGCACCCAGCTCCAAGAGACTCTTAGCTCCCACAAGTGCAGATGGGACTCCCATGGAAAAGTCAATTAGAACAGCAATCAGACGTGTAGTCCTAGCTACACAGAAATCTAAAATAGGCAAACAAGGATGCAGGTTCTGAGTTCAATCCCCGGTACTGGCATATACACACACATGAAAATCACCATACTCTTCTTACCTAAAGTCTCCCTCCATCCTTCCTCTCCTTCTCTTCATGCCTGTGGCTAGAAGCCCTTCTTCCGGTCTCCTTTCAGCCTGCCAACTTGCTTAGAGGACCTAAAACTAAGTGGTGTGTGTGTGTGTGTGTGTGTGTGTGTGTGTGTGTGTGTGTGTGTGTATGTGTATGTTTCTCCCAGTTTGGGCAGAAGCTCATCACCAAGGGTTTCTAGGGCTTCTAGGCAGCCTTGTTCTGAAGGCCTAACACCATCGAGTTCACCCTAAGTGTGTCAGGGCAGGTGGCAGACAACTCCCCCCAAAGAATCAGTCCCTATCACGTATCTGAACTCTTCCATGATTTGCCTCTAATATCCTTCTCATCCTCCTGTGCCCCTGCAGGGAAGTCTCTCAAAACACTGAGGAGAAATATGAAAATATTGCCTATGAAAGTAAGTTGTATACCATCTTTCCCCCATTTCTTCCCTTAGCCCTTCATTCTCTCCAAACACCTATATACATCTGCACACCACCCTCCTTTCAGTCCTTTCCCTCTCCCTCTCTTCACCTCATCCCACTCACGTGACTCTGGCTTTTACCTGGCAGCTGCTGTCTCTCCGGCATCCCTTGCCGTCTGTGTGCTTCCTTGTCACACCTCCATTCAATACTCCCTCGTGTTCTTCTCCCTAGGACAACAAACAGAGCCCCAACAGAGCCCCAAGGTAAGCAGCTCCAAGCTCTAAAAGAAAGGAGATGAGAGGAGGGGGGGTGGAAGGATGGGGAGCTGGGTGGGGGCAGGGCACTTGGGATATAGGCTGCTAGTCAGGGGCAGTTCTGTCTCCTGTCTAACCTTCTCTTGATGCTCACCAGAATGACAGCACTGTCTACGCTGTCCTCACCCTCTCCAACTCCTCCTCACCGAGAATGCCTGCTGGCCCTCCGCTCCATGGAAACACCCAGGAGGAGATGACCCTGTACTCTGTCCTAAAGACCAAATGAGTGAGCCTTAAGAGTCCTCCACTTTCTTCCCCACTTCAGTCGTGGGGCTTGAACTCTGGGCCTGGGCAATGTCCCTCAGCTCTTCAGCTCCAGGTGAGCACTCTACCACTTGAGCCACAGCACCACTTCCAGTTTTCTGGTGGTTTATTGGAGATAAGAGTCTCACGGTCTTTCCTGTCGGGGCTGGCTTTGAACTGTGATCCTCAGATCTCAGCCTCCTGAGTAGCTAGGATTATAGGCGTGAGCCACAGGCACTCAGCAACATGTCATCTTCTTTCAATAGGAAAATTCAAGGCTCCCAGTGATCAAGGCCAGAGGTAGACAACTCACAAGTCAGCAAGTTTAAGGCCACATAGGAAATGAGGCAGTCATTTGTTCCAGTATCTATTTCAGTTTCCTACCCCTTTCCTGCCAAAATAAAATACCCTCAGAATTTGCCTAAGTGACTTCTCTTTTCCACTTACTGTAAATGAACTCTCCTAGATAAGGCATATCCAAGACCTCTCCTAACGCCTTTCTTCCACATAAATGTTGGATTCTGGTAGCCGGGCCAAAACTCAGGGTCTGCTTCTGAATCTACCCATCATCACTCCCTCTCTATAACTGGCATGCATGGGGACTGTTTGCATGGAGCCCCTTTAATGGAGCAGGAAGATGATGAGCCCAGGAGGTTCGGAAAGAAGAGCCAGGTAGATTAGGCTTTTCAAAGGCCTTAGAGCCAGCTAGGAAGCAGCTGAGCCACAGTGGCAACCCAGACCTGCCCAGGAGTCAGGCTTCAGTATCCTTCCCAGGTTCCCACGCTGGACAGCCTCCTCCTTCATAGGATATGCCCCAGTACCAAGGGGAGGAGGAAAAGACGCTGAAAGGGAGCACATGGCTACACACAAACCTAACCAAATCTGCTTTATTAACACAGTAACTGCACAAGAACTTTGTGTCAAACCAACAACTCCCAACATTCAATAGCTGATCAAGGACATGGCTCCAAGGCTCTCCCAGCAGCTCCAGAGAACAGGAGCAGGGTAGGAGCACAGCACTATTCAAAGAGGGCCATGGGGAAGTCCTCTGCGCTATCTCCGTGTTGCAGCTCCCCTCGCTCCTCTGCCTCTCTCCCAATGTCTTCCATGAGTTGCTCAAAGTCCAGGTCACTGGACTCTCCTTCCTCAGCCGGGACATGAATAACCTCCTCAGCTAGAAGCTCCGGGTGTGAAGGCCAAGCTTTCCCTAACAAGAAACCGGGCCCGTGACAAGCTGGTGGGGCCTGGCCCTGGGGCACCATTCTCACTTCTTTTTCTTTAGACAATCTGGGTGCTGAGGCCTTGCTTAGAGGAGCGTGAAATTTTTCCTTACAACTAAATGAAAAGGGAATGAAACTGATAGTCTAATTGTGTGTGTGAGTGTGTGTGTGTGTGTGTGTGTGTGTGTGTGTGTATGTGTGTGTGTGATGCCAGTAGGAGGCCTTGAACGGAAAGCCTGGCATTGCCCCTGAATTCTTTTATTCAAAGCTAGTATTCTAGCACTTGGGCCACAGCTCCATTTCTGGCCTTTTGTGTTAACACAGACTTGTCCTGCCTAGGTTTGCTTTGACCTATTATCCTCAGCTCTCAGCCTCCCAAGTAACTATGATTACAGGTGTGAGCCACTGCCACCTGGCCTATCCTGACTTCTTACAAGTCAACTTCACAAATTCCTGTGTTGAAACAAAACAAAACCAAACTTGTGGAAAAGATCATCTTTTTCACTACAAAGAATATGGGTTTGGATTCCAGCTATGGATCACTCATTTGCTAAATGTGGGTATTAAATAATGGGTATTTAAACTTTTGAGAGCCTTGTTTCTTTATAGTTAAAAGCCAAGTGTCTAGAGTCATAGAGCTATGGGAAGGAATAAAAGGAACAAACATAGACGCGTCCATGTTGTAAGCACCAACCCAGAAAACCACTCGGACAGACAGTCACTTAGAAGAAAGAAGTGTTAATGTCAGCTGGAGGCTATCTCTGGCGGGATAGAGAGTAGCAAGCTGCTCTCATAGCCTTAGAGGTAGAGAGAGTGTCCGGAGTCCAAAGGCAGAAGAAGGGGCTGTGGCAGGAAATCTTCATAGCTGGCTTGCAGCCAGGGAAAACTTCCTATCACAGAGACAATACATTTTATATCTAGCACGTAGCAAAGTTAATACATCTTATAGCTGTCATGTAGCCAGGGAAAGCACTTTACAGCAGAGACAATACATTCTAGAGCTGGCATCTTGCGTGTGACACACCAGCGTGTTACCAGGACTGGCATCCAGACTCCGTTGCTGATGCAGCCAGGGCTGGTGGAAATACACAGCCGTGGCAGGGCCTGGCTTGTGGATGACCAAGATGAAGGCTGTTAACCCAAAATAGGGGTGAATAAGCTGACACATGTAGCCAGCCATTGACAATACCTAAACACTTTCTTCCCCTATGGTTCTCTTATCCCTGGAGTCAATCTGATCAATAACCATTATTTGTCAATAGTGTATGCTGAATACAATAGGAGACTTGCTTTTTCATTCTGCATATCATTCCTTCTTAGTCATGGAATTGTTCAGAAATAATCAGAGGAGGGTAGAGATGCAGACATGAACGTCATTTCCTCAAGTTCTTTCTACCCTGAGACTCACCTGGCTGGCCCAGATTCCTTGGCCCTTCTTTGCTTCGATTATGGGTGCAGGAGCATCTACTGCCTGGAGATTCCCGCTTCGTTCTCTTTTTCAGGGGCCCATCTTGCTCATCTGCCATGCCTATACCACCCCCCCCCAAACATGAAGGCAATTTGTTTATAATTAACAGCTTGTCAAGGGCAAACAACATATAGTCCCTGATCTACTTCAATCTTCTGCTCATTTTCAGTCTGGTCTATTCTCTGAGTGGCTTCCAGTTTCCCAATCTTCTCCATTTTTTTTCCTCATTGGATCTTCTTTTCCTTATGGTTTTCTTCTACTCAGAGCCTGCTTTCTCCAGGAAGTCATCCTTCTTGACTAGAAATTGAAATTCCCCCTCCCACATTGAACCTAAGATTTTAGAAAGCATGCAAATGAGGAGGCTCTAACTTCCTTCCTGTGTCCATCAGCATTCTTGCCTGCTTTCTCAGGTCCTGGAACTGAGTCAGTAGCTCCCCTCACACTCTCTGCCTCTGCCCTTCCTTAACTGTGGGACTCATTTCACTTCTAGCTGGCTTGCTTACCTGTAGGTTTGGTTTTTTATATCTGCTTGTTGCCTGACTTGGGACCAGGCAAAGTTGGATTCTGCATGTAGAACAGAAAATATGAAAAAGACAAATTAAAATCTGGCACTGAGCTAGCCTCAGTTCTGTAATCTTAGCTACTCAGGAGCCTGAGATCTGAGGATCATGGTTTCAAATGAAGAACAGGCAGGAGAGTCTGTGAGACTTCTCTCCAATTAACCAGCAAAAAGCTAGAAGTAGAGCTGTGGCTCAACTGTTAGAGCACTAGCCTACTCAGGAATGTGAAATTAGAAGGCTCTTGAACTGAGGCTAGCTTGAGCAAAGCTAGCATGAGACTCTATTTGAAAAATTAAAAGCAAAACTGTAGCTCAAGAGGTAGAGTGCTTGTCTAATGAGTGACAGACCCTGCATTTAATGCTCAATACCACTAAAAAAAAAAAAAAAGACTAATTGAGTTATATAACTGGTTCCCTCCTTCCCCTAGCATTGGGGCCTGAACTCTGGCCTTAGTGCTGTCCCTGAGCTTTTTTCTTACCTCAAAGCTATGGCTTTACCATTTTGAAGGACAAACCCACTTCCGGTTTTCTGGTGCTAAATTGGAAATAAGTTTTCTGCGGGACTTTCTTGACCTGGCTGACTGTGGAACACAATCTTTAGATCTCAGTCTTCTGAGTAGGTAGGATTATAAGCATAAGCCACCAGCACCCAACTTGTTGGTAGTTTTTTGTTTTTGTTTTGTAAGTCATGGGACTTGAACTCTGGACCTGGGCCCTGTCCCTGAGCGCTTCAGTTCAAGGCTAGCAATCTACCACTTGACCCACAGGGTCACATCCGGTTTTCTGATGCTTCATTGGAGATAAGAGTCTCACTGATTTTCCTTGCTTTGAACCATGATCCTCAGACTTCAGCCTCCTGAGTAGGTAGGATTACAGGCGGGAACCACGGGAGCCCGGCTCAACTGGTAGTTTTTATAGAGAACGCGCAACAGCGCCTGAGTGAAAAAGCTCAAGGATAGTGCCCAGCCCTGAATCCAAGCCTGAGGACCAGCATACAGAAATTATGTACAAACACAATGGCTTTTCATACCCACTTTATTTCTCTGGAGAGACTGGATCCTCCAAGAGCCTGTGTTTGTGCTCATCGCAGTCAGCTTCCTGGCCATCAGTCTGCATTAGGCCCAGCTGGTACTGCCCAGGACTGAGCTGGTTCCTTCCCAAAGGAGGCTGGGGACATCAATCAGGACTTCTGATGGACATAGGGCTGGCACTGCTTCCAGAAAAGCCACAAGAACAGCATCTAGCTGGGCATGGTGGCACACACTGTAGCCCCAGCTACTCAGGAGGCTGAGGTAGGATGATTGTAGTCTGAGGCTGCCCTGGGCAAAAACCATCTGAAAAATTAATGTAAAAAACAACTATGGTTGTGTCTCAAGTGGTAAATTGCCTGCCTAGCAAGCTCCAAGTGCCACCAAAAAGAGAAAGAAAAGTAATATATGATTATGATGAAAGTATGTTACATGCATGTATGCAAATAGCACATTAAGTCCCATTGTACATTTTAATTGCATATATATATATATATATATATATGTATATATATGTATATATATGGCCAGACTTCCTCTATGGCTTGGAGTTACCTGTGAAGTCTCTGGCATTCCCCATGGCTGTTGGTGACCTTCCTCCTGTGACCTGAGCTCCCCTCAGGCTGCTGCTTGGAGGTAGCAGGTGTTACACAGTAGGTGGGAGATGGATTCTTCCAGACAGGGAGGTTGAGGCGGGAAGCTCTATCTTCCCCTGCACAGCCAGGCCACACAAGGCCTGACCACACCTCTTCCCTGTTCCTTCTGTGCCTGGAGCCCTGAACAGGCATGTGGGAGTTGTCTCTCCCATCCAGGCCTTGGGACCCCTTCTGTGGCATTTGTGCACCATTTCCTTCTTAGGCCTCTGCTAGGTGTCCCCACACCCTGGCCTGCACATGTAGCCACAGGAGTGAGTAGGGGACCAACCAAAGCTGGTGCCAGGTGGTTCCGTTCCACACACAGCCTCAACACCCAGGTGTCTAGGAGGACAGCAATGGAAGCCAGAGCCAGGGTGGATCCAGAGGAGAGGGGCATCGGGGAAGGTGTCTTGATGTGGAAGGGATAGGGAAGAGAGGGGCGGCATTTGGTGGCCTCTCCCTTTGCTCATGGGGAAGCTAAGAAGGGCAAAGGGCCTGAAGGTCTGAAGCCAGATGACTTCCCAGTATGGAGCCACTCTGCTCTGGCTGACTTGCTTAGGCCTGGTCAGAATGAGGCATTTTCAGTCTTTCCGGAATGGAGGAGGGGCACTCAGGGATCCCAGAGCCCAGGGAAGGAGGGGAGGCTCTCAGGGAAAGGAAGGCCTCCAGGTGTGAACAGCAGTACAACGGACAGTGTGCCCACATGGTGGGAGTGGCTGGCAGCTGCACCTCCACTGTCACCTCCTACCCCATGGAGAGGACCTGCCTGAGTCCCCAGTCCCAGTCCCTGACCACAGACCCCCTTCCAATGACCCCTCCTTTTTCTACAACCTCTGGCCTAAGGAAACTAGCCCTGGGCCCTGGACACCTGAGCCCCCATTGGCTCTGCCTCAGCCTGGTGGCCTGGTCAGTCCTCCTGGCCCAGCCTCCACCAGCTCGAGCACCAGGTATCCTCTACCCCATGCTTGCTAGCCCAGGCCTCCCTCCCAGGGGCCCAGCTGTGCTAGCCTGGAGCCTGGGGACCACCATGGCCACCTTGTGTAAGATCCTGGCACCAGAGGCTCAACTATTGCCATGTGCACTGTTCCCAGGGCCTCAGCCCTGGACTGCATTAAAAGAAAACAAAAGAACACAGCTCGGCCTTGAGCAGGTGATCTGGATCCCAGGGAGGGAGGACACAGATGCTCACAAAATATGGACCATGAATCCCACCTGAGCCTCCAAATCTGCCTCTCCCCAGGACCATGCGAGCACCGGAGCCTCAAGTGCCTCCCAGGCCCAGATAAATCACCTCCCCACACTGCTGCTGGTGGGATTGCACACCACAGGGGGCAGCATTGACCTGTCCCATGAGCATGGAGTGCGGTCCATGGCTGGCCTCTTCTGGGGCTCATCCATCCCCAATTGAGTAGATGACTTGCACAAGGCCAGAATGCAACTCTGAGGGTGGCTCCCAGGCTGCCAGGTCCCTTCCTGGAAGCACCACACCCTCTCTGGTGACTACCTTCTATTGGGGGCCAATTCAGCCCAAAGACCCAGTGCCTCAGTTTCCCCAATGAAGGTATCAAGATGTTCCACCCTACAACACTGGGAAACTGAGAACAAAGCACTGGGGGTTTGGAGACCAGCATAGTTCCAGGGGTCCCCAGAACATCTGACCTGTGGGAAGAAAAGAAAGCACATGGGGAGAGAAAGCAGAGACAGCTTGGCAAGCTTGGGGGGTAGCACAAAAGAGGCAGCAATGGTTAAGGGGAAGTTGAGGAAAAAGGGAAGTTACCCTCTGCACACAGTGATGGCCGCATGACACTTTCTCACCCGTAACCCCGTCTTCCCTGTCCCCTCATTAAGCTGACACCAGGCTCCTCCTGGGCACAGCGGGGCACAGACTCCCACAGAGCCAGCCTGTGCATCACCAAACCTCCACCCCTCTCCTCTCATTTGTCAGAGTGTGCCATGGACTGGGGAATGTGTGACTCATTGCTGCTCTGAGTCTTCTTTGACCTCTGGGGGCCTCCCGGGTTCCCCACTGCTGGAATTTGGTATTCCAACATTAGTATCCAGAAAGTGTGCCATGCAGCCAAGCCAGAGCCTCAACTCAGCAGAAGGCTAAAGTGGACCTTGAAGTCGAGAGCCAAATCTACCTCATGCCACATGGCCTGGCACAAAGACACCAGCATGGCAGCATGACACCCCAGTTCACTGAGTGTGTCATCTATGCATACCAGGAAGGTGGCAGCCAATCACCAGGGAGGCGGCAAGGATGCCAGGGTCTTAGTTTTGCCTGGCAACTGGGGGACCCGGATCCAGCCTCAAGGAGAAGACAAGGAAAAAGCACACACCACTGGGCCTTGGTATTCCAGTGATCCCAGGACCATCATCTTCCTCATCCCTTCTAAGACCTGACTCTGGGAGCAGAGCTGAGCAAAGACTCATGCCCACCTTCCTCTCTGAAATAGCCAGCTCTGGCCCTGGACAGTCCCTTTCCCTGGGAAGAGAGACAGGCAAAGATTGGGGGACAAGAGTCAAGGACAGGGCTGGGAAGGTGGCTCAGTGGTGGAGCGCTTGCCTTGCATGCATGAGGCCCTGGGTTCGATTCCTCAGCACTACATAAGCAGAAAAAAAAGCCAGAAGTGGCGCTGTGGCTCAAGTGGTAGAGCGCTAGCCTTGAGCTGAAGAGCTGAGGGACAGCGCCCAGGCCCAGAGTTCAGGCCCACGACCGGACCAACCCCCCTTACAAAAAAGAGTCAAGGACAGAGACACCCAGAGATGGGAGGCAGGGAAATTGGGGGGAAGGGCGGGGAGAAGGATGAGAAGGGGATATGGAGACTGCACAGACCATAGCGAAGGATCAGACAAGGCAGGTGGTCAAGTTGGGACAGGTGAGGCCAAGGGCAAGGTGAATCTCTCAGCACCAAATGGGAGGTGGAGGCTGGAGGACTGCACAAGGGAGGCCCTTCTGCCCTTTAAGAAAAGGAGAAGCCACATGGGGAAGGAAGTTGTGGGCCACAAGGAGGTGGGGATGGGAAAGTGAACATCTTCCCTCAGCCCTGGAAAAAGAAGTTTGACTCAGAATCTCCACGTGACACTCACCCCACTTGTGCAAGTCCCAGGGTTCTGTCAGGGCCTCTTTTCCGGCTGTGGCCCTCAGCAGGCCTCTTCCTCCAGAGGAGACCAGCTATGGGGTGGGTCCTGGTGGCACTGCTGCTACTGCCTGCAGGAGTCCTGACAGCTGGTGAGTGGCCAAAACCATCAAGCCACAGGGAGCCTGGGGGCTGGGCATGTGCAGAGGGCTGTGTGGGAGGAGGTGGCCAGGACCAACCCTTCACCCACTTTCCTCTCCCAACCCTGGAGAGGGTCAGCCCTGCCATCTGTCCCACCAGACCCTGGGGATGCAGGTGCAGGAGCATCTGGGGTTCGTCTCTGCCTCCCCTCTGGCAGGGACTTGCTTCACATTCCTCCCTTTTCCTCCAGACAGAGATTTTGGGATGACGCAGCCGAAACACCTCTCTGCCATTGTGGGAGGCTCCATCGAAATCCCCTTCAGCTTCTTCCACTCCTGGGAGCTGCCCCGGTATCCCAAGGTGAAGGTGTTTTGGAGATGGATGTGGTTCCACGGGGAGTTCATCTACAACATGACCCCACCTTTCATCCATAAGCATTTCAAGGACCGGCTGGTCCTGAACTTCACAAAGGACCGGACCTCAGGCTCCCTGTCCATTTTGAACCTTCGGAAGGAGGACGAGAACATGTACTTCTGCCGCGTCCATCTGAAGACAAAGGAAAAGGGTGAGCAGCAGTTGCAGTCCATCGAAGGGACCAAACTCACCATCACTGAAGGTGAGCCCCCTTCCCCAGCTCCACACCCCCTCAGTCCTCACACTTCAAATCTTCTCACTTTCTTCTTCCTGACCTCAGACCTCTTCTCAGGACCCTGCCATTTTCACTCCTTATTTCTTTTTACCAATTACCATCCCCAAACAGATGTTGCTTCCCCTCCTCTTTGCCTCCCAGTGGCCTCTGAGGTTCCTCCCAATCCCACGCCTGGGCCTCAGCCCTGCCACAACTGTCCAAGTTCTAACTTAACACTAGCACTCCAGGCCTGCCTGTTCCCTAACTTTCTTGTTAAGTTGACTTCCCTACGACCTGTCCTGCCTTCTTTTTGTGTTATCTGCATCCAATCTTGCTCTTCCCACAGCCCTGAGCTCAGCCCAGAATACACAGCAAGTGTCTGATGGATGGTCTCCTTGTTTTCTAGGCCTGCTGCAACCCCACACCATCTCCTGCACCCTTACCTTCAATCTCCCCCCTTCCCTCCCCAAAATACCTCTCTCCCCTTCTCTGTCCAGGGCTTCCTCTCCCTTCCATTCTTCTCTTCTCCCACCCCTCACCAGCCCCATTCTCCCACACAAGCCCACATGCTCTTCTCATCACTGTGTCTCTTAGCGCCCATGCTGCACTTGTTTGTACTGCTGGTGCACTTGCAGGGTGAACCCCACTGGCCTAGCACTGTGCATACATTAATTACCCTCACTCTCTTACACCACCATGCTACAACAACAGTAGGCAGTTCATTCTGTACAGAGAGAAATGTTTTGGTCAGAAGAATCATGTCGTCAAGTAAGCAGTGAAAAACTAAGAGAGTATTGTTCAAGTGATAGACAGCTAGCTTTGAGCAAAAATGCAAGTGAGATTGCAAGGCCACACACATACACACACACACAAAGAGAGAGACTGAGAGAGACAGAGACAGAGAGAGAGACAGAGAGAGCGCAAATATTTAACTAGGCTATTGCCACTGGCTCACATCTTTCAGCCTTCCTACTCAGGAGGCTGAGATCTGAGGGCTGAAGTTCAAAGACAGGCTACGAATTTAAACTATTCTTTAGTCATACTCCAGGATTTTTAATAAATCAGTATTACTCTGGTTTTCTTTTTATTATGTATTATAGTCATTCATTTATTTAAATACAACACTCATATACAGTTATTTTTTTCAATGTTGTGGATCCAACCCAGGGCTTTTTGCATGTCTACCACTGAGCCACATTCCCAACTCTAGGTTTTATTTTCTAAATGGAATGTTATTATATAAATTCTGTATTTAAGTAATTTTAAAATCCTCTAGATCTCCAAATGTATACTCATGGTATTCAAATGTATACTCATGGTATTCAGTAGACACTGTGTGGAAATTGAACTATGCAACTTGTGAGCAGGGCTAGCAGGGGAAACAGGGAATGTGAGGGAAGAGGTGACACTGTCCAAAAGGAACTGTACTCACAGCTGCCTTATGAAATGGTAGCCCCTTAATAACGACACCTTAATAATAACAAGAAAAGCATATTTGCAAAAAATTTCTTAGTTCTCCATTGAGTTATGCCTTTATTAATTCTTTTTTAGCCTTTCATCTTATTTCTAATCAACTGTTATGTATGCATAATTATGGGGCATAGAGTAGTGTTTTGTTACAGGTAATTCATTTATCTATTTCTTTTTCCTTTTTTTGTGCCAGTCCTGTGGCTTGAACTCAGGGCCTGTCCCTTAGCTTGTTCACTCCAGGCTGCTGCTCTACCACTTGAGACACAAACACACTTTCAGCCTTTTCCTGGTTTACTGGTGATAAGAGTCTCACAGACTTTCCTTCCCAGGTTGGCCACAGACTATGATCCTCAAATTTCAGCCTCCTAGATAGCTAGGATTACAGGCATGAGCTACCAGCACTCAGTTTTTGTTTTTTAATAATTAATTTCTAATAAGCATGAACAAAAGGAGTAGTTTAGTGGGTACAGAGAAAATTTCAGAATTGGAGAGTCAGTAATGGCTACACAGCAACATGAATGTACTCAGTGCCACCAAAATTCACTCTTGCAAGACAGTTAAATGATATGTTTTATGTTCCATAGATTTATGTCAAAAAATAATGTTCTATTCCTGTGATTTATTTATCAGTAGTGAAGTGACTTTTTATTCACTATTGAAAAATGATACAGAATCAGGATTTAAACTTATGTTTATTTTGGAGATACTGGGTTGAACTCTAAGCCTGGAACTTGCTTAGGCAGCTGCTCTAACTTTTGTGTCCCTTTACCCCAGCCCTGTTCATCTGGATTCTAAGCTCCCCCCTCTTCCTATCTGAATGGATCTCTGAGAAATGCTCCCATCTCAGTTTTCCTCTGAATAAGATCTGAGCCAGGCACTGGTGGCTCGCGCCTGTAATCCTAGCTACTCAAGAGGCTGAGATCTGAGGATTGGGGTTCAAAGCATACACAAAGTCTGTGAGACTCATCTCCAATTAACCACTGGGAAACTGGAAGTGGTGCTGTGGCTCAAATGGTAGAGCGCTCACCTTGAGCTGAAGAGCTCAGGGACAGTGCCCAGGCCCAAAGTTCAAGCTCCATGACCAACAAAAACAAAAACAAAACAAAGAAACAAGATCTGAACGGTCACTCACATAGTCCCACTCTACATCTGCTGCCTTCTGATTTTTTCCCCAGCCATCAAGACCACCACTGAGAGAAGCACCAGTGTAGCCTCTGAAGTTACCTCAGCTGGCTTCACAGTCTCAGAGTCTCAGCCCCTGAGTCTGGGAGCCTTTGTTGGGGTTGTGATGTTCACTGCTACATTCAAAATTGGAGTGCTGGGACTGATGGCCTTCCTCAGATGGAGAAAGGTAAGTGTCCAGAGCTGGCCTCTCGTCATGCTTCCTTGGGGACACTCTTCCATTGTAAACACTTAAGATGCTTTATAAAAATGCAGATACCTCCAGGTGCTGGCAGCTCACGCCTGTAATCCTCACTACTCAGGAGACTGAGATCTGAGGATCTAGGTTCAAAGCCACCCCGGGCACGAAAGTCAACAAAACTCTTAACTGGCCTTGAGCTGAAGAGCTGAAGGATAGCACCCAGGTCCAGAGTTCAAGCCCCACAACCGATTAAAAAAATGAGATAACTGCAGGGTGACTGTGGCTCACGCCTATCATCCCAGCTACTCAGGAGGCTGAGATCTCAGGATCAAAGTTCCAGCCAGCCCAGGCAGAAAACCCAATGAGACTCTTATCTTCAATAACTACCAAAAAAAGGCGGAAGTGGTGCTGTTTTTCAAGTGGTAGTGCACTAACCTTAAGCAATAAAAACACAGGGACAGCACCTAGGCTCTGAGTTCAAGCCCCACAACTGGCACCACAAAAATAAAAAAAGCAGATACCTCCTGGGCTTTCCTCAAACCATCAGTCTGTGAGGCCTGTGCTTAGGGATACTGCTTTCTGTGATTTTGTTTTGAGACAAGGTCTCACAATATAGGCCAGGCTGGCCTTGAATCCTCAGTGCCAGGATAATATCTGCTGTCCTAACTGGAAATTTATATTTTATGTAAGCCTCCTCAAGTGAGTCTGTGCAAACCAACAATAGCACATGATGTCAGGGTTTACCAGGTCTTCTCTCATGACTTAGTCCTGAGTCATCCATCTTCACCTTTTGATTGCTGGAGAAGAGACAGCCAGCCCTGGGAAAGGTACAACAAATCAGAAGGGACAGGAAGTTGTCTCAATTCAGCAAGGACTGAACCAGTGCACACATTGAAGGGCCTGGCTTGAATTTGGCAAATCAAAACAAGAACAGAGCTTACTTTTCAAGGAATTTTGCACTCAGAAGTGTTGGTGCTCATTGTTTTTTGGGAGAGCTGTAGTAGTGCTAAACAACGTCACTGGATAGAAAAGGAGTCAGAGAGGACTGCTTAGCAGAAGACAAAATCTCTGAAGGATAATAAAAACAACAAGCCAGGAAAGAGCTGGGAGTAAGGAAGAAGATACTCAAAGGGAGGAAAGGGGAGATGAGAGAAGGGGGTCTTGTAAATCAAAGTCAACAACATCAGATCCCAGGGAGCAGTCACAGTGTGCTCCTGCAGGGAGAGCATCTGTGTGTGAGGGCAGCCAGGCTGCAGCAGCGCAAAGGATGGAGGGAAACGGCTAGGACCAGGAAGAGCCCTTATATGGCGTATAAGAAAAAAGTCAAGATTGTCATTTCATCTATAATAGCAACAGCCAATAAAATAAAAACACTTAGGGGAAAAAAAATCTCTAAACTGTCAGGTAACAAAGGAAAGAGTGTAAGTTCCTGTCCAGTTAGAAGGTAGACAGGTATGGACATTACGGGGGCAAGGAACTATTTCTCTTTATCTCCCAGTTTGATTAATTTGAAAGGGCGAGTATAAAGTGACTCCAATTAGAATGTTATTTCCTCTTACTCCTCTCCATGGATTTTCATTGTCAGGACTGATTTCATCCTTGCAGGTGGTGGCGGGGTCCCCTCAGCGTTCATGGCTGGGATAGCTTGTCCCAGTTGGCATTCACAGGCTTTGAACTCAAGGCCTGAGCACTGTCCTTAAGCACTTCTGCTTGAGGCTAACTCTCTACCACTTTGAGTCACAGTGCCATTTCCAGCATCTGGCTGGTTAATTAGAAATGAGTCTCTTGAGCCATGCTTCCTGCCTGCCTTTTTGCTGGTTCACTGGGAGATGGAGTCTCAGAGATTTTTCTACCCGGGCTGGCTTTGAACTGCAATCTTTGCTACAAAAAAACTCTTTATTATTTCCAATTAAAGCAACGAGGAGATCAAATAGAAGTGAGTAGTGCTTACCTGCACCTTTGTTTTCTGGTGACCCTAACGATGCCTAAGTTAACCAAGTTGCAGAAAGAACGTCACACAAGAGTAGTAGTTTTTGCAAATCCAAAGCAGTCTTCCAACAGGAACCAGCTGCATGTGAAGAAGTCAGGCAGCAGTCCAGTCTACTTTTTTATCACATTAGAAGTAGTGAGGATTGGGCTGGGAAGGTGGCTCAGTGGTAGAGCACTTGCCTTGCATGCCTGAGGCCCTGGGTTCGATTCCTCAGCACCACATAAGCAAAAAGAAAAAAGCCAGAAGTGGCGCTATGGCTCAAGTGGCTAGCCTTGAGCTAAAGAGCTGAGGGACAGTGCCCAGGACCAGAGTTCAGACCCCACGACTGGACTACCCCCACCCCCTAAAAAAAGAAGTAGTCAGGATGGTCTAGGTGGGAGTGAGGGAGGCCATCTTCCAGGTTGGAAGAGATGGATTGGATCTGGGGTAGGCTGCATCCCTTGGATGGACTGTCACTCCTGCTGTGTTACCTGCAAATTTCTACAGACTGGTGAATGGGCCTGGGTGCTATCCTTGGCTTTTTCAACTTATATTGAGATCAAATTAAATTATACACACTGAGACCAAATTAAGTTACACTGAGACCAAATTAAGTTACACGAGAAAAAGAAACCTTGAATAGTGGAGAGATTTGAAATTTACAAAAAAACAACGCGTCTTCAAAAAACTTACGTTGCTAAACTAAATAACTTGATTACAATGCCAGATAACAAATTTTCTTAGACAGAGCCATACACACATGTAGGCACATGCCCGCACGTGCGCACATCCACAAACACACACAAACTGTATACATAAGTTTTACAGCATGCAAACATGAGTAACAGCCATAGACTCTTGGAATTCCAGCAGTAAGATGACATTATTTTGCCCAATATTTTAAAACCACATGGTCAGTGCTAGAAGAGGCATTGCCAAACAAAATACAAGGCAAAACTCAACAGCCAAAAATTTTGACAACAGAACAAGTTTAGACATCTTTGCTAATAAAGCACATTAGCTGGTTGGGCCTCAGTTTCCAGGATCTGTGAAAAGAGTCAGCTTTGTTGGCAAGGCACATTATCAGGATGGTATGACTTGGAGTTTTATAAAGTAAGCACAAGCAAGCAGACAGACAGACAATAGAGGGGGAGAGAGAGGAAGAGGAAGAGAGGAAAAGAGAAAGTACTGTATTTAGGTCAGTGATTGCAATTATCCAATTAGTATTAAGGCCAAATTTCTAAGCAGTTACTTTTCTTTTGATGTTAGATATGGTCTCAAACCTACAATGACCAGCCTTAGAGAGAGAATGGAGAAGACTGTCCCTGGGACCCAGCCTGCATTGCACTTTTGCATGCCCAAGCCAAAAGAGGAAAGAAAGAAAGAAAGAAAGAGAGAAAGAGAGAAAGAGAGAGAGAAAGAGAGAAAGAAAGAAAGAGAAAGAGAGAGAGAGAAAGAGAGAAAGAAAGAGAGAAAGAAAGAAAGAGAGAAAGAAAGAAAGAAAGAAAGAGAGAAAGAAAGGAAGAAAGAAAGAAAGAGAAAGAAAGAAAGAAAAAGAAAATTAAGAGGGAAAGAGCAAAGAAGAGCCTGAAAGTAAAAAGATTTCTGACCATTACTGGCAAAAATATTTTGACCAGGCCTCATTGCAATTGCAAGAGGCATTCCAACTCAGTGTCCCGGCTAGGGCATGACTTGCAGCATGCCATTAAAAGCACTGGAGGTAGTCAGTCTGGTGAGTGAAGGAGAGCTTACTGGATGGAAGGAGTATCCTACATCCTACATCCTCTAGCGCCCCCTAGGGAGAAATAGTCAAACCCCCCAAAACCAAGTTTCCTCAGCTCAGGAGGTGACAGGCCTTTCAGCTAAAGGCCCAGGAGATTTCTGGTATGGCGTCACATCTAGTCAAACAGAAAACCAGAGAACTTGTAGAGTAGTTCACTCACCAGAGTAGAGAAATGGTGTAGCGTAGATGTGGAGGCCAGCAATGGTACTGGTGGAAAGCCTAGCATGGCATCTCGCAGCAGTTTAGTTGGAGGGAAAAGGGCTGTCAGAACTGGGGATAGTCCTCAGAGAAAAACTAGAAAAAGAGAGAAACAAAACAAAACAAAACAAACGGAGAGGAATCCTGCCTATCCTGACTTTAAACCCTTCCTGAGTTCAGATGGCACCATTTATGTTAGGTATTTAAATATGTTAGGTTTAATTAGGTAGACAGTAAGGAGAACACCACGAGTTATTCAGGCAGGTAGAGAAGTTTATTTTAATGAGCTGCTTGCCCCCACCATGCCAGATGGAGACCATATGGCCAAAGGGGAAGGCTGAGGTCTGACCTGGGTTTAAGTAGGGAAGGAGAGAGGAGAAGGTGCAGCCAGGTGAGGGAAGGTGTCGCCACACTAGATGCATATGTGGCCTGGATGCCTGGGATCCTCCCTTGGTTCAATGGGAAGCATGACTGGGGTCAGCCAGGAATGTGACCTCCAGGTATGCCAGTTACCTAGGTGATACAGGTACTGGGTAGAGACTTAGCCGAGAGGAGGGGGGAGTCTGCCCACCTTCCAGGAGCAGATCTTACAGAAACAAAGAAAATGAAGGATTTACACACTAATACCAAAACATAAACAATATTGAAAGAAATTAAAGAAGACACAAAGAAATGGAAAGATTTCATATTGTTGACTAGAAGAATAAAACAAGATGTATGCACTATTCAAAGCAATCTACAGATTTTTATTTTTGGTCAGTCATGGGGCCTGAACTCTGGGCCTGGGCGCTGTCCCTCAGCAATTCAGCTCAAGGCTAGCACTCTACCACTTGAGCCACAGCACCACTTCCAGCTTTTCTGCTTATGTGGTGCTAAGAAATTGAACCCAGGGCCTCTTGCAATCAAGGCAAGCGCTCTACCACTGAGCAACCTTCCCAGCCCCCAAGCTACAGATTTAATGCAACTCAGATCAAAGTCTGAAATGAAATCTGATCATGGGGCTTGAACTCAGGGCATGGGCATCATACCTAATCTTTTTTGCACAATGACTCTTTTTTCAAAAATGAATAATTCAAAAAAATAAAAAATGAATAATTCATCTTCTGAAATTCATAGCCAATTATGGAGGACTTGTACTGCTTGAGTTCATAAAAAGTTCTCAAAGCTACACTGAGCAAAACAACACAGTACTCGTACAAAGACAGACAAATGGATGGATGGCTGGAACACAGCACAATCCTGAAGTAAACTGTCAAGTACAGCCAAATAAGTAGTCTTCCAGAAGGGTGCATGCTGGGCATTGTGGCTTACATTTATAATTCTAGCTACTCAGGAGTCTGAGACCTGGTTCAAAGCCAGCTTGGGAAGAAAAGTCCGTGAGACTCTGCTCTCCAGTCACCCATCAGAAAACTGAACTGAGGCTAAAAGTGGTAGCACACTAGGCTTCAGCAAAACAGTTCAGGCAGCGGGGCACCGGTGGCTCTCGTCTGTAATCATAGCTACTCAGGAGGCTGAGATCTGAGGATCATGGTTCAAAGCCAGCCCAAGAAGGAAAGCTATGAGACTCTTACCTCCAATAAACCACCAGAAAACCACAAGTGGCTCTGTGGCTCAAGTAGTAGTGCGATCACCTTGAGCTGAAGAGTTCAGGACAGCACTTGGGCCCAGATTCAAGCCCCATTAATGACAAAAACAAAACAAAATAAAACAGTTTAGGCACGTAGGCACTGAGTTCAAGCCCCAACACTGACAGAAACAAAAAGAAAAAGAATAGAAGGTGCCAAGACCCCTAATAAGGAAAGAAGAACCGCTGAGGGGTGAGGAATGGTCCAGGAAAGCAGCAGAAATCTGAACAGGATTCCAACCATGAATTTAATCTCTGGGACCAGAAATAGCCAATATTCAGAAGGAAAGCCATGTTGGGTGAGGACATGGAAACAGATGGGTGTGAGTGCAGAGAAAGGAAAAGGAGGAAAGTGGAGGGTAAAGGTAAGAAGGGAGGTCAAGTAGGGGAGAAATTAAAAGAGAAAGGGAGAGGGCTGGGCCTGGGGTAGTAGCTCATGACTGTAATTCTAGCTATTCACGAGGCTCAGATCTGAAGTTGAAAGCCAGGCTGGGCAAGAAAGTCTCCAAGACTCTTATCTCCAGTTACCCACCAGAAAACTGGAAGTGGAGCTATGCCTCACAGTGGTAGAGCACTAGCCTTGAGCAACCAGACGGGACAATGTCCAGACCCTGAGTTTAAGCCCTAAGACCAACAAAAAAGAGGGTAGGGAGACAAGGATGAAGAGGTGATGGATGGACCCAGAAGGGCTTGTCTTAGGACTTGCAGTGGAAGACAAGAGAACAAGTATGGCTGGCCTCACTTACTGCCCTGACTGGTTGGGGCAGAGCATCCCCATTCCTCCATTTCCCTCAGGTTGGTCTGAACATAGGACATAATTAAGAAGGTGACAGAGAATCACAAGGAAGTCATACTGACACCATGTTGCTTCTTCTACAGGCCAGACAACTACAATCCCCAGCAGGGTGAGTATTTGTCCTCCCAAGGAGGCAGGGTGAGTGAGACAGAGGTGCTGGTTTGGGAGGTTTCTTTACAAGTTTCCCTATAAGAACAAGTAGGAAAATATCACAGTGAAACCTATTACTTTATACAATTCACATGCACAAATAAATAAGAGAGAGATTTTATCTGAGCACCCATGCCTCACAGCCTGTAATTCTAACTATTCAGAAGGTTGAGATCTGAGGATCATGGTTTGAAGAGAGCCTGGGTTAGAAAAGACCCTGACACACTTTTTGCCAAATAACCACCAAGCTGGGAGTGGAGCTATGGTTCAAGTGGTAGAGAACAAGCCTTAAGCAGAAAAGCTCAGGGACAGGGCTTAGGCCCTGAGTTCAAGCCCAGAGTAGGAAAAAGATATATATATGTATATATATATATATAGAGAGAGAGAGAGACATATTGGTCAAGATTCATTGTGTTCACAAACTGACATGTTGAACTGAAATCCTTTTGTTTGACTAATTAAAGATCATGTAAAAAAGCAAAATAAGGATAGAAAAACAAAAATAGGGGCATATTAGCAACCCACAATGAAGCCTATAAAAATGACCAAAGCATTTTGAAAAAGATTTTTTTCACTGTGCTCTGTTTACAGATATATCTCCTACTCTCTTTTATGGGGAAAATCTTTGCTACCTATTCAATGATGTAATATAAGAACGAAAAATAACATTAGCAGTTGTAGATTACTGAAAAGTATTTTACACTTGCTTTGGACATTTTTATGTAGAATTGTTTCTTGCTGAGGTTTATAGGTCTTTTAAGGAAAATGGATAAGAATCTGTAAATGTATGGCAAATAATAAGTTCATGAAATTGCATTTATTGTTAGCCAATTAGCTAAATTTAAAAAAGAAAAAGAAAAAAGAAACACACAGGGGTCTTTCTCAGAGGCCCATGACTCACCTAGTCTGTGTCCAGCCTTGTACCCTACCGCTCCAGCCTCCTCATCCTGCAGGCCCCCTCCCCCAACAATGAGACCAGCACAGAGTTTCAGTCTCTTCTTTACCAGCAAGTGGCTCTCTTTGGTTCCTCTTTCCTGCTGTCCTCCCTGTCTCTGAGCTTCTGTTTATCTGTTTTCCTCTCAGCCTTAATCATCTTCCTTTGTGTATCTTACTCTCTTGTCTTTTTAGAGACGAGGCTGTACCTGGGGATTAAACTCAGGGAGCTGAGCTTGACAGTCAGATGCTCTAACCCTTCAGCCACATCCCCAGCCCAATCATTCTCTCCTATACTTTGCTTTTTTCTGTCCCATATCCTTTCCCCTGGTGAACATGCCATGGCCCCTAGGCATCTTCTGCTCCAGCTCCTCCATCTCTCTCTTTTTTTCCCTACCCTTTCATCTCTCCTTCCTTTCTTCTTGCCTTTTCTTATTATCTGAATTGAAGAGACTTTTTGGGGGGGTCAGCAGTGGAGCTTGAACTCAGGGCCTAGGCATTGTCGCTATACTCTTTTTTTTTTTTTTGCCAGTCCTGGGGATTGAACTCAAAACCTGGGCACAGTACCTTTTGCTCAAGGTTAACACACTATCATTTGAGCCACAGCACCACTTCTGATTTCTGTTTATGTGGTATTGAGGAATCAAACCCAGGACTTCATGCATGCTGGGCAAGCACTCTACCACTAAACCATACCCAGCCCTGTCCCCAAACTCTTTTGCTGAAGGCTAGTGCTCTACCACTTGAGCCACAGCACCACTTCCAGTTTTCTGGTGATTCATTGGAGATAAGAATCTCACAGACTTTCCTGCCTATGTTAGCTTTGAACTTCGATCCTCATATCTCAGCCTCCTAAACAGCTAGGATTACAGGTGTGAGCCAGCAGCGTCCACATTCAATTAACCATCCAAAAGCCAAAAGCTGCAAGTTCAGGTGTGGCTAACATGGTTTCGTTTCAACTGGAAGAGCAAGTCACATATTTAGTCCCAGCAACTTGGAAATCTGAAAAAGGCAAGCAAGAACACAGGTCCTGAACTTAATCCCCAATACGTGTATACACACACACACACACACACACACACACACACACAAATGTCACACGTTTCTACTCAAAGCCTCCCTCCATCCTTCCTCTCCCTGCCCTGTGCCTTCTTTGGCTAGCAGCCCTTCTTCCAGTCTCCTTCCAGGGACCCAGCCTGCCTACTTGATCAAAGGCCCTAAAACTAAGTAATGTGTGTGTGTGTGTGTGTGTGTATTTTCTCCCACTTTTGGCAGGGCAATGCATTCAGACACAAGCAGGGTTGGCACCTCACATTTCTCCAGTGTCCCCACACACTGCCACAAAGCAGTTTCCAAAAAATGACATACTTTGAATAATGCTGAGGGCCAAGTTCATGGCCATGCTGCCAAGGGCTTCCCCTCATTCACCTTTCAGGCAGCCTCGTTCTGAACACCATTGGGTTCGCAATGAGTGTGTCAGGGCAGACACCCCCTCAAATGGAATCAGCCCCTATCATATGACTAAACCCACTCATGACTAGCCTCTGATATCCTTCCTATCCTCCTGTGCCCCTGCAGGGAAGTCTCCCAAGACACTGAAAAGAAATATGAAAATATTGGCTATAAAAGTAAGTCTTATACCATTCCTTCCCTGTTGGGAGCCGACAGTAAAGCTCTAAGGTCATCTTGACCCCTGTGCCACTTGAAGGCACATACAAGGAGCTGGCTTACTTAAAAAACACCAGGTGCCCGGGATTGCTTTGCTATGTCTGCAGAGTTTGTTTTACTTTCTACCAGTTGACCTTGTCTTGTTTTTACTGCACTCTGTTTTTACTGAAATTTTCCTTGTTTTTCTGGACTATTGTAACCTTATGTTACCTCTTGACTTCTAATAGTATATATTAGGGAAAGTTAATAATAAATGGGGCTGCAGTCTTGAGCTGCAGACCTCCCGATCCCATCCTTTGCCCTATGTCTTTATTTTTCTCGTCCCCGCCCCCTAATTCAGGATTCCCTTTCGTTGCCGGCGCCCGAACAGGGACCTGAAAACCTGGGATCACCGCAGAGGACCCCGCTAAGGTAAGAGGATGCGTCCGGAAAAAGAGAGCGGGAGATAGTATAGTCGGGAGTAAGAAATTATGGGTCAAGGTAAGAGCCGCATGCTATATGTGCAGGCTCTTAAGGGCATGCTTCAAGCTCGAGGAGTGAAAGTTGGACAGAGTCAGTTAGAATGTTTCTTTCGCTTTGTCGAGGAAGTATGCCCCTGGTTCCTGGAGGAAGGAACCATTAGTTTAAAAACTTAGCAACAACAACAACAAAAAAAAAAAATGAAAAAAAGGATTCAGGGACACTATGATGCAAATGGCCGGTAAGTTAAAACATTGCTGCTTTGTGATTGTCTGGTATCTGTGTAGCCTGCAGGTTCTGTATTGGGGTTGGCAAGAGTATTGGCAGATGCGCTATAAGACAGCCATAAGACGCACTATAAGACAGTCCGGTGGGAGACGTCCCCCGGATCCCCATCAGGGTAAACTATCCACTAGTGTGGACATTTGGGCCTGTATGCAGTCCAGCACTTTCTGTCTGACAGTCTACAATGCACATGCTGTAAATGTGCTTTGTCTCAATGTTTGTGTGTATGTATTTTGGAATTCTTGGAATGTTTCTTCTCTCAGATTCATCCTGATGTGAGAGCCTGGAGGAGACTGGCTAACACCCCCTCAATATCTGTTTCTCTCTAGCTCCTTCTGTTTTACTTACACTTTAAACTGACCCCCCTTTCTACCCTTCACTGCCACCTCCTCCACCCTCTCTGGATCCAGAAGTAGGGGAGGTGGGCGGTGAGAAACCTGGAGAATCTAACAATAACTTAAAAGGGCTGGCAGTGAGAATTCGCAGCCGGATGAAACTGCCACTGACCACCTGCAAGTGACACCAGCAAGATCTTAGCCTCGGGCCTCGGCCCAGGGGGTCTGAGTATGGGGGAGAACCTGTCAGTCTGAGGGGACAGCCACTAGGGACTTCTTTCCCTCTCCCCAAGATGACTGGGAATTCTCCTCCACTTTGGAAGACCCCTGGGTCAACGTTTGCAGGAATCTAAAAGAAAAATCCTCCAGAGGTGAGTAGATGGGGTTTGAGTCCCCTGGTAAGTGGATTTGAGTCCCACTTGTGAATGGTGGTGAGATGTTGCCCCATTCACTGAGACCTGATTTTGTCTTTGTGGCCACTTGTCTGTCTTGTTTACTTCTGTGTGTTTTCTGAGGTAGGGATAAACTGGGGGCCCATTAGCCCCAACTCAGCCTTTGGTTGTTGTCTTGTCTAGTTCTGTTTTAGAATTGGTACCAGTTTTAAATGTACGTACAACTGATTTTGATTTTTGCGTGCTTTAAGATCTGTGTGTGTTTTGTATGTGTTTGTGAACATGTTCAAGATAAAAATTATCAGCATGCTGTAACAATTTGGTAAGTTTAAGTTTAAAATTTAAAAGGTTATGAGGTTTGGACATTACGAAAAATTTAAAAATTTTTCACATTGTTTTAAATGACTTTTTGAGGATTCTTTAACTTAGAAAATTTAAAAAATCTGGTATTTTAAAATGCACAAGGCTGATTACACTGTAATCAAGTTATCTGGCTTAACAAAAATGCATTGGCTGTTTGGAATTTAGTTCTCTTGGCTAAAATTTGGGGATAAATATTAAAAGTTTAAATATAAAAGTTTGTTTAACACTGTCAGAGACATTACCTGTTCTGTCTGTCTAAAACTGTGTATTTTCATTCAAAAACCAAGAGATAAGAAAAGGAAAAAACTTAAAAGCCAACAAAAGACCTATCTTTAGGGACAAGGGGTAAACAGGCAAAAGTGCAGTTCAGCTGGTCATACATGGTGGGACGGGCCATGGGAGGAGTCCACGCATGGTGAAAGAGGACAAGCTGGCACAAACGCAGTTCATCTAACCCTAAAGAGTGAGATCAGGTGCGTGCCCATTCCATAGGAGGGGCCAAGTGGCCCAGCTTTGTTCTGTCCTTTTTCTCTACAGATAAATACTAGAAACATGATGGTAAAAATTAGTGATGTGATGATCTGATCAGTATTGCTAAAACTGCCCCTTGGACTTAAAAAGAGGGTTAAAAAATGTATTTGTATAATGTGACTTGCTTTCAATGATGTTCTACATCATTGATGAACATTAGGATATGTTTTTAAAAGTCATAAATGTGTTAAGTTTAACTTCTTGGTACAGTGATGGTGATTGTAATTCTTGCATTAAGGAAAAATTTTCATTTGAGTTTAAAAGTTTTAATGTGTATCTGTTTTAAAACAAGCAGACAAGAGACAATGAGTAACACTTGGCCTCAAGATTTTAAGGGATTTTTTTTAATGTAACTAAAAACTAAAATATAAAATAATAAAAGAGATTAATAGGAGGCTTAAAAAATAGGAATGGATTTTTGGATATAAAGTTTAAAAGTAAAATTACTCTTAACATTTGCCTCAAAGTGAAAAAATTAGGATTACCAAAATAATTGCTTAATTGCTATTCCAGTTTGCTCTTACAGGTTTTTTAAGTTTCCAGCAAGCCAAGAGCAAAGCACAGAGGATTCTTATAAGTTTGTCAGATGTAACTTTGGCTCTTAACAAGTTTTAGGTAAGAGCATGCTTAGAAGCTACTTCTATGTTGACCACCTTGTTGCTTTTAATTGGAGCAAAGTGGCCTTTTATAAGAATCATTGATCTGCAAACTGGTTCAAAGCCAGCCCAGACAGAAAAAGGTCCCTGTGAGACTGTCACCTCTACTCAGCCAGCAGGGTGCTGAAAGAGCAAGCAGAGTTGCTTTGGGATTCATAGTGGCAGAGTGCTAGCCTTGAGCTGGAGAGCTGAGGGACAGTGCTCAGGCCCGAGTTCAAGTCCAGCGACCAGCTAAGGGAAATGCCAATGAGGCATTTATCCCAGTGTAGAGAAGGCATTCCTGGGACAAGAGCAATGGAGGAGCATCCAGAGACAGTAAAGCCACTGCTTGGATGACAGAAATGTCAGATCCTAGAGTCATTTGTGCATGGCCCTTCAAAAATTGGTCAGAGCCAGGAGGTCATGGAAAGATAGTTTGTAAACATGCCTAATATCCATGACTATCTACTTTGTAGAGACAAAAACTTGTTAGTAATCTGTGATAGTACTAAAAAGCTAAAGTTATAAAATGTGGGGGATGGTTTAAATCCCAACCCCTGTATGTGCCAAAAGCCCTAATTGGCAATAACTTTTGAGCTAACACCAGCTACATAAAATTTATCTTCTCAAGAAAAAAGTTTGTAAACCTGAGAGTGTGTTTCCATTAACATCTGTCTAAAGGCCTGCACAGGTGACTTAGGCATTGTTAGGGTCACTAGAGGTCACATTCCTAAAGATGCTTTTACAAACCAAAGTGCTAAACAAGCTACACTGCTGTAGCCAGAAAAAAGTCTGTGCATTTGTCAAAAGTTAAAATATTGCATTTGTCAAAAGTTAAAATATTGTTCTTAATGACATCTAACCCTGGTAACCTCTTTGTAAAACAGACTAAGGTTATAGGTTCCTGGCTAGGTAGGATCAACACCCCTGAGTCAGCTTGAAGAAGTTACAGAAGATGAATCTTCGCCCATCATCCCCTTTTTAGAACAAGGGACCAGAGTCATAAAAAAAAAAGTGACAAAATAGACAAAAAAAAGGCATGGAAAATAGTAGTATAGGCCTGAGCCCTCTATATCTGCCTAAAAAATCAGCCTTATTAAAAAAACTATCTAGTTAAAAAGGTTGTCATTTTGGTAATTTGTCCTGGGCTATTGTCTAAATAGTCTTAAAAACTAGTGGGGCCACAGCCTGCCAAGCCTATGTATTACTTGTATCCTTAACCAGTTTGTGTAGAAATTTACAGCCCAGCAAGAGGTGTGACAGTCCCTTGGAGCCACTGAGAGACCTTGCTGTTGCTGCTGCTGCTACAGCCTGACAGTCACCTGGAGGAAATCTACATCGTTACCCTGACCACCTCCACCGTGGAAAAAGTAGACTAAACTCCTGCCTGATTCCATCTTTTGGATGGCTTCGCTTTGTCCATGTTACCATATACCTACTCTAATTTTATTATGGGTACTCCTCTTGCTGGGGAGACTAGCAAACATTGTATTGCTCATTCCCTACACTGCTTTGCCACTATGGGACTTCCTAAACATAATAAAACTGTAATGGTCCGGGATATGTCGGACAAGCTTTTCAAACTTCTTGTAAATCTTACCAGATTTTTCACTCTACAGGTATTCCCTATATTCCTCAAGGACAAAAAATTGTTAAACAAGCCAATGGGCTGTTAAAACACCAAAATTTTAAATTAAAAGAGGGGAGTTATAGCCCTTCTCTCCTGTTAATATTCTTCTCATGCTTTATTTGTACTAAATTTTTTAAGTTTAGATTATAATGGCCTTTCCACAGCACAGTGGTTTTGGGAAAAAAAAAAAAAGAGAGAGAGAGAGCAAAAAGCTTTTGCCCAAGTTAAGTGGAAGGATCCTTTAACAGGTGCTTGACACAGGCCCGATCCGGTTTTAACATGGGGTCGAGGACATGTTTGTGTTTTTTTTGCAGGAAGAAAATAAATCCCGCTGGTTGCCTGAGCATTACGTTAGGATTGTGGAGGCTCATTCAGTTGACACAAATGCTGACACATTGGGCTTGCATGCCAGATTCCCAACTGTGCACCCTACAACTTGGGAGGGAGTTGAACTACTCATTCATGTCAATAGATCATCATACGGTACAGCTCCCGATCCTTTCATCCAATATACAAAGATGGGAGATTTCTCAGCTTCAGGTATTGGAACTCCTTTATGCTTTACCACCAATTTTAAAAGCTCCACTCCAGGCTGTACTTCTATGTGATCCATGACTCATAAAATTTGGATCCAAGACAAAAATCAAATGTACAATATACAGATGACATCTTTACCAACTGGGCACTTAGTTTATGCAAATTCTACTCCATCCTATAGGATACCCTGTTGCATTAATTCCTCACAAATAGTAGAATCTACAGGAGAGCCTCATCCAATAAGGTACAGGCATGTGCAGCCATTTGTTACCAATATTTCTGGAACTAATTCTCAATTAATGGACTGGTCTGGAGCTAATCTTACTAATAAGTACAATCTTCCCGTAAATATTTCTGAAACTTGGTATAAAGATTCCGGCAGGGCTGGGAAGGTGGCTCAGTGGTAGAGCGCTTGCCTTGCATGCTCAAGGCCCTGGGTTCGATTCCTCAGCACCACATAAACAAAAAGAAAAAAGCCGGAAGTGGCACTGTGGCTCAAGTGGTAGAGCGATAGCCTTGAGCTGAAGAGCTGAGGGACAGCACCCAGGCCCAGAGTTCAGGCCCCATGACCGGACCCAAAAAAAAAAAAAAAAAAAAAGATTCCGGCATTCAGGTGTTAAGACAATTGAAAGAACTAATGCGCCCTGGTCGATTTGTTGGGTTACTTGTAGGTGATGTTTTGGCCTTTATTTCTTTAGCTGCCTCTGCAGCGGCAGCTGCTGTGGCACTAGCACAAAATGTACAAACTGCCCATTATCTTAATCAGCTTGTTCATAATACTACACAAACCCTACCTCTGGACTC